TACGAATATGAATTCTTGCAAATCTTTGAATTATGAACCTTTGAATTTTAAAATTGTGAACTTAAATCGTGAATCTTTGAGCTTTAATTTGTATTACAAATTTTTAGATTATGAAATTTTCGAATTGTGAATCTTTTAAGTGTCGAGATTTTATAATTGTTGTCAAGTTACACTCGGACGTAATAGGTATCTATATTTTTGCACAATTCCTGTATCATAAGAAATGTATAAAGAGGAATAATTGTAGATACCCCATTTAGTCTGGCACCCAAATCAGTTGGACTTGAACTCAATTCAAGCCTAATTGATGAATTCTATATTTTACTTTTATTGATATTGTATTTATCTATAAAATTTTTATTTTAGTTATCCTATTTTGTTTTATTATATTCATTTTTTATTTAATTTTTATTTTCCCATCTTATTTATCCTTTCTATTTTTTATTTTTAGTTATATTTTCATATTATCTGATTATTTCCAAAAAAATAAAAATAAAAAACAAAAAAAGAAAGTAATCCAAAAAACTTGAAGTTTGAAATTTGGGTAAGGCTATCCTTTGGTAATATCAGTGATAATCCTCTTTCTTATAAAAAATAATTTGAGATTAACTTTGCAGATAATTTTAGATTTGGTCGAAACAAATCCAATCCCAACCAAATTAAGACTTTGTTAAATTTTCTTATAAATGGACTTGTAGTTGATAGAGTGAAGAAGACGGAGACAGACGATGATCAAGGGGAAAAATAGAAAAACACAACAAGTAGAGTAGAGATTGAAGTGTTCTGCCAGTAAAATTTTTGAAGAAATTCATTTTTTATAGAGTTAAGTTTCTTTTAAGTTTAATTCAAATTGATTTTGAAGAAATCATTAACATTGAAAGGTTTAGGAGTCCTAGAAGAATAAAATTCATGTCTCTAGAAAAATTTTGGAAAAACTTGAATTTTTTGTTGAATTTTCCTATAGGATTTGCACTTTCTAGTGAGTGTTCTGATTAAAAATCCAAAAACCAGCAATGTTACCAAGTTTCAATGTGAAATTTTAGAAAATCGATTAAGATTCATCCGATTCTTTATCTATTTTTAAAGAAAGAGAAAGATAGAGACAAGGAAAGAAGAGATAGAGAGAGGGCAAATGTGAAGTTTGAAGAAAGAAAAACTTGGCTTTTATAGTCAATTAAAACAATGTCATTTTGGACATTACAGAAGGCTAAGATTTGCGTGTTTCCACCAACCTAATCCAACCCATAGTGCGATCTGGTTTGCAACCCATCTCTAGTAGCTGACATTTGAGTCGAGCTAAGCCACCACCCTAAACTATCCCAACTGGATCTCCTTTTTACAGTCAAGCTGAGTCAATACTATAGTCGAGCCGAACAGGTTTTTTATTTTGGTATTTATTTTTTTGTTTTATGTTATTATTTTCTTTATTTATTTTGTTTTAAAAATATTATGCATGATTAAATTTTAGAAAAAATTAAAGATGAAAATTATAAAAATTATAAAATGAAACTTTAAAAAAATTTTAGAAATAAATAATAATTATCTGATGAAATTTTTAGAAATTACAAATAGCTCATTTTTAAAAATTTTTAGAAGAGAAATTTTTTCTAAATTTAACCCAAATGAAAAAAAAATTTAGGTAAAGTTTCAATAATAATAATAATTAATATTTATTTTCATTTTAAAAAAGAATAATAAAAAATGCATAAACAAATTTCATAAAAATTTGGAGTTGTATTAACAATTACTCGATGATAAGTTTTTTAGAAATTTGAAATGGTAAATTTTTTAAAAAATATCTAGGTAAGAAATTTCTCTAGATTTAACTCTAACAGTGGGATAATTTAAACGAAATTTCAATAAAGTAATTGTATTTTTTCTTAAATAAAAATTTAAAATTAAAAAATATAACTTAAAAAAATTTTGGTGTGAAAATGTATGATAATTATCCAATAATAAAATCTCAAGAAAAATCACAAATAACTAAATTTCTATTAGATTTCTTGGTAAAGATTTTTTTTAAAAAAAATTCAGCCTAAATTATGGAAGAATTTAAAGGAGACTTAAAAAATAATTGTCATAATATTTTCTTTCTCAAGATTAGGAATCAAACAATGAGTAACAAGAGTTTATATTTTAAATTTAACCTAAACGGTAAAAAATTTAGAACTGAAAACTTGTAAGGTATTTTTAAATAGACTCAAATGGTAAAAAGTTTAGAAATAAAAATTATAAATTAAAGAATAAATTTTGAGGATGAAATTCTTAGTAATTGCGAATGCATGATTATCTAAGAGATTTTTAAGTGAAAAAATATTTCTAGTTGTGGCTCAAATGGTGGAAGAATTATATATTTTTTCAATAAAACGAAAATTTAACAAAAATAATTAATTAAGTTTTTTTTACGATGGTGCATCTTCAAGAAAACAAATAAGATTCTTGAATACTCTCAAAGTAAGAAAATATTTTTAAGAATTTTACCAAATTGATAAAAAACCTTAACAGGTATTTTCAATTTTAAATTTAAGATATTAGAACTATAAACTTTTAGGATAATTAAAAATTAAATAGTACCGTCTTTTAGGATAGGTGTTGTAGGGGTGCTATAATCTTCCCTATATGTAACCGAACTTTCGAACCTAATTCTATTCAAAATGTCAAAACTTATTCTTTAAGGACTTTTAATTAAGTTTAGAAACTCCTTAAAAAGATAGATTTATTAGGTGGTTACTCACACTTTAAAAAATTATTGACGGTGACTCTTTAACTTGTGTCTAGTTATGAATTTATGAATCTATATGTTATGACACTAATTATAGATTAAAGATATTCCATTCTTGTTTTAACGTTTGTAATCTTATTAATCTTGGGTTCGAGGGGCCAAAGTTTATTTGGTCAAATAAATATGAGAGGTGCTCAACACCTCATTCAAGGACGGATTGACCACGTTCTTGTTAACCCTTCTTGGAAACTCTTGTACCCTCGGGCAATGGTCTTTCATCTTCCTAGAATCCGATCCGATCACTGTCCTGTTCTCATATCCTTCAAAGCAAGCCTCCCTTCCTTTGATAATAAACCTTTTCGCTTCCAGAGAATGTGGCTTGGCCATCTTGATTTTGCAAGAATCCTTAATCAAAGTTGGCCTTCATTTAATCCGCCCCTTAACCAAACCATCGAGGTGTTCATAAAGCAACTAAGGATTTGGAATAGAGACACATTTGGAAATGTCTTCCATAGGAAACGAAAAATATTGGCCAAATTGAATGGCATTGAGAAAGCTCTTGATGATAAACCCAACAATTTTCTTAATTTAAAAATTAATCGATTAATTAATTTTTCAATTAATCAAATAGTAAATATATTTAAATTAAATTATATTTTAAACTCTTAATTTCTCATATTTAAATAAACTAAATAAAATTATTCAATAAAATATTCAAATACTAAAGTATTATGTTAAAAACTTTATTAACTTATTAAATAAAATTATCAATTTCATGCATTTTTAATTTTATATTTGAATTATGTTATATTTTGGTTAAAATTCGATTGATTCGGTTCGGTTGATTTTTAAACTAAATAAATCGAAAATCAAATTTTTTTTAAAATTATTTTTTGTTAACTGACTGAAATTAATTCAATGATCGACTAATTAATCGAGTTAAATCGATTCGATTAATTAATTTGATCAAAATTGAATTAAGAACACCCCTAAGTGGGAAACTAAAAGAAACAGGGAAGGATAAGCCAAAAAGGAAGTATAAAATGAAATGGTGAAGGTTGCATTTAAAGATCTTTGGAGAAAAAAAGAAAGGTTTGGATTGCAAGTGAGAAATGAGCTTTTTGATTGCTATATTTGATAAAATGAAGTTTCCAAAGTCTAGACTTGCATTTTTAATGCAAAGCTTGATGTTGTCACACTCACACTAAGTTCTTCCAAGGAGAGATGGCGAGTTGCATTTATGGTTTATCTCACATTAGAGGGGAGTAGGAAATCTAACGACTTAATGAGAAAAGCGCATCTCAAACTTGCAATCCAAGCCTTCTAGACTTCGGAATGAAACTCAATTGAATTTGTTAGAGTTGCATTTGCTTTTGTTAAAAGGGTCGCAGGGCTTAAGCCACAAATGACTCTCTGCGGCGAAAGTTTGATATGTTTAGGGTCTTTGTGCAGGTGTAGCAAACAGATTTTAAGTTCAAGAAATGCAGATTTTAAGCATAGCCTCTCTTTAAAACATATGTTAAATCATGTGAAATGGAAGAAAACCAGTTCTCATATTTTTCAATCAATTGGAGATCAAATGGAAGACCATCTATTACTACTATCTATGCTTCCTTAACCCAACACAACAGGAACCATATTAAAGACTCATCTACTGGCACATATAAATACAAGATTTTAAGAATATATAATTAAACTTCCATACCCACGTATAATATGATTTGAACTTAAAATTTTAAAAATTTAAGATTTTCTTTTTATCATTAAATTAAGACTTCATTAGTTATAAAAAATAATTAGGCAATGATTAGGTGATTTACAATATTATTCATATAGCTAGCAATGCAAAACTCTCAGATTTTATGAAAAATTAAGACATAATTAACCTTTTAAATGTAATAAAAAAACTTTAGGTTCTCATCAATACTTTTTGTGAAAGAAGTTACCAATGGATATTAATACAAAGATGAGTAACAAATATTTAAAACGAGCAAAAAAAGAATATTTTGAATTATTAAGGATATTGTAAAGATTTCAAAAAATTTATAAAACCTTATTAAAAAAAAAACTTAATTGATTTATATTCTTTCAAATTAAAAGAAAATTTTACCTCTTACTTAAAATAATAATAATAAAGTACTACTGTACTTATTTAAGATGCTTTCTAAGCATTTACTACGTTACACATTTAGCAAATGCTTAAAAATATATATATATATATATAAATACTATCACAACAAAATTAATAATTAAATAAAAATACTTCACATCTTAATCCAGGTATTTTACATTTTTAAAAAAGTCAAGGAACTCGCGTGGTTGGGCCCATCGGGCTGCCTCTTTCTTTAAAACCCCCATTCCGTTTATGAAGTAAAATTGCAAAATTGCAGACGATCAAAAACTAAAAAGGGGGCTAAGCGAAATAAATCAGATGAACAACAGACGTGAACAAACTCCAGATCGAAGAATTGCAAAGATCGAGCGTGATCGCCAATACCGACGAAAGCAAAGGGTACCCACAATTATATACTCTTTATCAATATTACTACTGCTACTAATTTTGTCATTTGTTTCTGTCTTTCTAATTAATGAAGAGGGAGTTCGACAGACGAGGGATTGAGGAGGCTCGCTTGAAGGCGCTGGAGGCCGAATTGCTGTCCTCATTGGCGGAGCAGAGACGTGAAAATGAGACCTTAGCAGGGGAGAATCGAAGACTGGAAGGTAGGATATCAATTCTCGAGGACACCATAGTTCAGCTACGTCAAGATTGTCAGAGACTTCAAAAAATTATGGATCAAGTACTGTCTCCTCGGCTTCTATATAAAATCTCTCTTTTGTTTCGACTAGTACTACTAGTTTTATGCTTTTTCTATAGATTTTCTCCATAATTCATATGAAATCGCAATACCAAGTAAATAAAGTCCTTGAATTTCTGGTTTTTCATTGAGAAACCTTAGACAGGGGTTTAACCTCTATTATAGATAACAAGGATCTTAATTTGGAAAGTGGAAAAAACCCTTTATAGTTATTCCATTACCCTTTCCGGTTACATTAAATTTATTCAGTTAAGAAAATCTTTTGATTGCCTAAGATCATATATACTTAATGCTTTGGCGATGGTTAATGTCTTTTCTTAAGGATGTCAAGAGTTTTTGGATGTTTCTATCTAAACTTATATATAATGTGCGGGCCATTTCTAAAGCTTCCTTAACCTTGAAAAAGGATTTCATACATTAGCATATCGAACAAAAACCCTTGTCCTTTTGTTTATTGCCCTTTACTTCGTTGATGTGTTAATTTCCTTTGAGTTGCAGGAAAGGCATTGATCTACTTATTCTGGAATGTTGAAATAACTGTTCTTTTTCTCGATTTATTTGTTTTCAGGCTGACTCATTGTTTGAATATGATAACTTTCCAAGTCCAAATGAAGACGTTGCAAATAATGAGACTGTTATCACTCATGGTCCGGGGAGTTCTCAAAGTACCATATAGTATGCTGATAAGCGCAGAGTATTTTGAGGGCAAGTATCTGAGCACTGGTCTATTGCATTAGCATCCTTCCAGCTAGAAGATTGGATCCACTTCTTTCTTTCGGTACATTGCATAGCTACGTTATGAACTTTGATAGTATTATGATACCGATGAAAGGAATTTTATCCTCACCCAACATGTTAATCTTTTTATCTTGCATTTTGTTAACAGTTGCATTACCTTTTGTAGAAATTTCAAGCTTTGTGTATCTAGCATTTGTTAAGAGTTTCATTTCCTTTTGTAGAAAGACCAATCATTCCGTAACTAGCATTTGTTAAAAATTGCATTCCTTTTTAACAAAGGCCGCAGCTGCAGGTCTTAAAGAGACAACAGACACTAAAGCTTGTAAAAGTTAGGGCTGTTTGATAGTGGCATATTTTGACGTCACCACGAAAAATGCAAATCTTATTTAGCTTCTTCCAGAGATGTTGAGAGATGTAAAATCATTCAGCGCGGAAACAAAACCAAAGGTGTTAAAAGATGAGCAACACATCCTATATTTTGACAGGATAATTGGCTGGAATCCAGCACTCTGAGATAACATGGAAACCAAAACATTTTTCTTTGTTTTCCTTAATCTACAGCAGCTGAAACCAGTTAAGGATTCCTCTAATGATACGGATCATATACAGGATAATCACAAACTCTTTGTACTTGTAAAGATTGCAACTCAAGTGCAAGTCATGTCTCCACCACTGGTGAATACCATGGGCCTGCTTGAAATCTTGAGAAGGAGATAGATTCAAGGTCAAATTTGCTGAAGGAAGCAGATGCGGAGGTTCTGCGGCTTCTGCACCCCTTCCCACAACACTCATAAATAGACCTCCTAATGAATGCTAGGTTGCCAATCTCTCAATAGCCCCTGCTCCAATCTCTTCCAGCTTTTTCCTATGCTCAAAAGAACCAACATATTCAGAGCACAAGTGGTCTGCAGGATTCACAAATAGACATGGGATCCACGCAGACAAAGCAACAAATGGATATTCGGACCGAGTCCTTAGAGCGTTACCCTTTGTGGCAAGAGCAAGTCCTGCTGTGATGACACTGCCTGCAATTCGAAGTCCATGTTTCACTTTCTTATCTTTGATTCTCTCAATTGGGGCAGATAAAGAATGATGGATTAAAGAGGAAAGCTTCCACAAAATTGCCTGCCTTAGCCATAGTCCTTCCAGCCACCACTGCCATTGCTGCCCCAAGAGAATGGCCAGCTAACCAGACATTTGAATCACCCACAGATGCAACCATGTTTCGAACAGCTTGCATGGCAATCTCAAAGCGAGAAGTCTGGTGGAGTCCATTTCGTATTATGTGGATATCCAACTCAAAGTCTCTAGAGAAGGAGTCTGGTTTAGTTATGGTACCTCGAAAGGCAATCGCATAGCGGGGGCTTCGACCAATTAAGTCGTTAAAATGAGATGATGGAGGCTTATACTCATAAATGGCACCAAAGATGCAAAAATCAGCATCATCAACAAGCTTATGAATCAACTTAAAATGGAAGAACTCCCACCAAGAAGGAGCCAGAGCTTGACAACCTTGACGTTTTTCCTGGCGGTCTCGCCCCAAAATATAGACACCCTCACCAAACTGGCTGCCACAGACCTTAGATGATGTGCATTTGTCCTGCATACAATAAATACAACAATATTTAGCGCATAAGACAGTATCCACCTGTTGTGATTAAAATAAATTCAAAGATCCTCAAGTTCTTAGACCTTAAACATCTTTGGAAGTCAACAATTGCTTTGGTTTTGCATTTGATGGGTGGAAAACCTTACCAGTCAATAATGTTAGGTGAAAGGGCCCCGAAAGACCAAAATCGTCCCTCTCAGAGGCCATCACAGCATTCACTCTTGTTCTTTCTTCTTGATATTTATAAATCCTAAGCTGCATGCACAAGTAAAACCAGTGAACACAAACCACCTAGCAGTCGAATTATTTCATATGTTATAAAAGATACAATCTAAAGACTTCCTCAATATGATACATTTATCAAGGCAAAGCAAGCATCAACAAGACCATGCAATGTTCTTAAGCTTCAAAGAATTCTCCAACGAGCCATCAATTGGAATCATGGAAATGCATTTTAATATACTTTAAAAAGCCTACAGTATAGTTTCCTAAGTTTATTTGGAATAAACTAATTATTCATGTAAACTTTATCACCAGAATATTTAAACTGCAGCGAACCAAGAAGCAGGTTGGTTACAAACCATGTTTTGAACACCTAATTAAGTTTCAAGAACAATTTAGCACACTGTGGTTTGGCAGAATCAAGTCGCAGACCGTACTGAACGAAATTTTACTGAAACAATTCATGCAAAGCCAGCTAATGGCAGCCACATAAATTCCTGAATCCAAATTCTAGTAGGCACCATATAAATTAAATGCTACTGTTTGAACCGAGCTCCGACATGAGAGTATTTCTACATTTGCAGAAGAGAAGAATAGTTAGAGGCAAAGGTAGGAGGTGTTTTTGTGTTTGCACTCCAACGTGCAAGTCAGTAAAGATCAAGTCGACAAAAAAAAAGAAGAGAGAGAAATGAATGGGATGAACTTGCCTTAATGGTGCCTGAGTCTTCATATTTATAGGTAAATTGTAGGAGACCGTAAAAGGACAATTAAGACAGGGCCGAGCTGAGGTGGCACTAATCATGTCAGCCAACTTAACATGTCAGGTCAACAAAAATGACAAAGATACCCATGGTTGTCTGCTGAAGGCTTTGAAAGGGAAAAAGACCACTATACTCTTTTGACCATCAAATATCCTTAATACTTTGTCCCCCCATCAGGCGGTTTAAGTATTAGATCGCCAAATTTATTACCAATGTCCCCAGTGTGAAACAGATTGACTAGGGGAACAGATTGGCAGCTTGGTTCGTTGAAGGCCAACGTTGCAGAGGGAGGTCAGTTTTGGATGATGACTAGCTTTGAGCCACGATCCGACCTGGCAATTATCTAATCTTGAGCATGTGTTCTGGATTGAATGCATAATCGGTTTAAAGGTTACCAAAGTGATAATTGTCGGGAGTGATTCAAGATTAACTCTTTTGACCGAAATGAGCTCTTTTAGTCTAGTTAATCACTTTGGTCGAGGTGGCCTAGCCAAGCCTTCATGTAGGCAATTTATCGAAATGAGCTCTTTGACCAAGATTACCGAGATGAATTCTTTTGATCAAGGTGAGCTCTTTTAGTCTAGTTAATCACATTGGCCAAGGTGATCCAGCCAAGCCTTTATGTAGATAATTTATCAAGATAAGCTCTTTGATCGAGATGACCGAGATGAGTTCTTTTGACCGAAGTGAGCTCTTTTAGCCGAGCTGAGCTCTTTTGGCTAAACTAATTACTTTGGCCGAGATGGCCCAACCAAGCCTTTATGTAGGTAATTTATCAAGATAAGCTCTTGGTGGCCGAGATGAGCTCTTTTGACCGAGCTGTTTTGTCGAATTGAGCTTTTATGAAGGTATTTTGTAGATCTATTTTGTCAAATTGAGCTTTTATAAAGGCATTTCATAGATCCAAGCTCTTTTGATCAAGTTGAGTTCGAGCTCTTTTGGCCAAGCTATTTTGTCGAATTGGATCTTAATAAAGGCATTTAGTAAATTCGAGTTCTTTTAGTTGAGGTGAGTTCGAACTTTTTGGCTGAGCTGTTTTGTCAAGTTAAACCTTTATGAAAACATTTCGTAGATCCGAGCTCTTTTGGACGAGCTCTTTTATTGAGTTGAGCCTTTATAAATGCATTTCGTAGATCCAAGCTCTTTTAGCAGAGCTAAGACCGAGTTTCTTTGGCCAAGATGTTTTGTCGAATTGAGCCTTTATGAAAGTATTTTGTAGATCTGAACTCTTTTGGCCGAGCTGAGTCCGAGCTTTTTTAGCCGAACTATTTTACCGAATTGAGCATTTGTAAAGGCATTTCATAGATCCGAACTCTTTTGATCAAGCTGAGTCCGAGCTCTTTGGCTGAGATGTTTTCTCGAATTGGACCTTTATGAGTACATTTCATAGATCATAGCTCTTTTGGCCGAACTGAATCTGAACTCTTTAGCAAACTATTTTATCGAATTGGGCCTTTATGAAAGCATTTCATAGATCCCAGCTCTTTTGACCGAGCTGAATTCGAGCTTTTTGATCGAGTTATTTTGTAATTGGGCCTTTATGAAGGCATTTGGTAGATTCGAGCTCTTTTGATCGAACTAAGTTCGAGCTCTTTTGGCCATACCGTTTCTCCTCCCTCTAGGGTTCTTTTTCTTGGTGACATTATTTTGTGCTCGGCTAATACGAATTCCCCTACTTGATGCGCCAAATGTTGGTGCTGAACTCTAACCTGATAGTATTCTTGTGTTTGCAGAAGAGAAGAACGGTTAGAGACAAAAGCAGAAGGTATTACTTGCGTTTGCACTCCAATGCACAAGTCAATAAAGATCAGTTCAACAAGAAAAGAGGAAGGAGAGAGAAATGAATGGGATGAATCTACTTTTATGCTGCTTGAGTCTTCATATTTATAGGTAAGTTAAAGAGGGATCATAAGAAAACAATTAAAATAAGACCAAGCTGAGATGACATTGATCATGTCAAGCCAACCTGATATGTTAGATCAACACAAATAATAAAAATATCTCTAATTATTTACTAAAAACTTTGAAAAGAAAAAATACCACTATACTCTTTTTATCATCAAATACACCTAACAACTACATACTCTTGTGCCTTACCTTTCAAGAGATGCTACAAGTTTGTACAATATGTAAGTAGCATTTAACTTGCCTTTTACAGTTTGTAGCCTGGTGAGATGGCTGTGGTTGCAGCCAAATCAATGATTATTAAAACACGTCAGAAAAGAAAAAGTGATCCAAGATTCGAAACCAAACAAAAGAAAAGAAAAAAAAACTATGAATCTGTTTCTATCTGAATTAAATTACCCCATAGAAGGTAACCTCACATAATCTCGATTGAAACTTTTTATCTGATTTCTACCTATCGTACTAATTGTTGTAGATCCATCAACATCCCTACAGCGTATGAGATATAACATGGAATAAAAACCAAAAGCGCATCAGCATAATCAAGAACCAACTAATTTAAAAGCAAACCCACCAATAGAAATGGCTAAAATCCAACATAACTCAGTGCATCGTTTTCAAGTTTGCCGTGAAACTGAAACAAAATACTCAATAATAATACATAACTATATTAAGTCTTAAAAAACAAGCAGCATAACAAGAGATGAACTAGATTAAGACAATCCCATCAAGATAAATGGGTAAAATAATCAAACATCTAATGCGTCTTCATGGCTAAAACGAAGAAAGCAAAGGAAAAGGAAGGGTGGCAATTCTGGTTCACAATCAGTAACAAGAAACGACAATGACAGCTTAAAATGGGCAAATATTGCTGGAAATATTGTTACCTCTTTTGCGGAATTAAAAGGTAAGAGCAGATCTGGGTGCCTTACATATGAGATTTGTGAAGATTTTAGTAATAAATTTGAAACAGTTGGTTGGCGACAGAGGCATAAAGAAACGTTAAGATGTCTCCATCATCCATCAGAAGTTCTAACAATGTGCGAACTGAGGTTTTATTGAGATTCCTGAAGTCGGAAGACAGCAATAGACCCCGTACGGTAGTCGCGTCGTTTACCCGTTTCACTGCTTGTTGAAACGACAGCGTGTTAGCTCAGGAAACGAAAAAATTGTTGGCTTCTGATTGCGGCTAAAATGGGCTTTAATTGAAATTTGGGCATTGATTTTAAAAGATAAAAATATAATAAATCATTTACAAAAGAAGCAAGCACATTAGCCAAGCGCAAAATACAAGACGGCGCAAACATTCGAATATCATATAGAGTTATAAAAATGTAGCATGCACAACAAATTATGTTGCTTTCTGAAATAAGGTTGAACTATTGCCTTAATGAAATTACAACAAAAAAAAACCCTGCCCGGTTCTTCCCCAGTGTGACTCTGATTTCATCAGTCTACTTGGACCAAGCAACCGCATCGATTTCTGCTTGTGCACTCCTGTATAATTCCAGCCTCTTGGCAAGAGCACTGCGTCGCTCCATGATTGCTGGATCCTCATTCAATAATGCTGACAATCGTTTTTGCTACAAGAATTTTCCCACAAGTAAATCATCTGTTTCACCAAAATAAGTGAAATATGAAGACGGTAAGAGAGAACCAATCTCACCTCCAGTTTACCCAATTCAGTGTAGAAAAAGTCAAGCAGGCTTCTTTTAGCTTCACGAACTTGACAATAAACAATGGACTTTGGAATGGAGTGGCGCAAACTAGCGCAGACCATATTAACATAAGACAAGACTGTTGTTCCTGCTCATATTTTGTCAGAGAAACCGATGATCAGCAAGAAAAATACATTGAATATTAATATGCTTTGTTGAAATTTCAAACCAGAGAGTTCTTTTTTTGAAGTTTATGAACCTACCAATTCTCCTGAGGTATGAGTCATTGTATCTATCAAATATGGATTGTGTAGGGTTGCCACCCTTCTCAACATCTTGAGGAAGCTTTCGGAAGAAATCAACTGTAAGGTAACAACATTCCATATCAACCAGTTGAAGTGTTGCTTTTTTGCTCTGTTCCCTCATTCTTTCAAGAGACTCAATTGCAGCATTTCCAACCTCTACTCTGAGAGCAGGGTACTGCTTTAACTCCTGAAAACCAAAGCATGATTCCCATATACCACGACCAGCTTGAAGAATAATATAAAACTCAAGGGCAAAAGATAAAAAAGAGAGGTTAATAGTACTTGTAATCCTACAACAGGCATAATTTATTTGATACATGAACAAGATAAGCAAAAGACAGGAACATACTGGAGTCTCATTGATAGCCTTGTGAACCAGGTCCTTCAGAATGGAATGAATCTGAAAAGTGTGAATAAAAAAAAAAAAAATCAATCCATTTTCAAGCATTAACTGTATGGCCAGCATGATGCACTGAGTAATTCAAAATTTTAACAGGAAAAAACATGTAGTAGAAAATTATGCACTATATAATTGGAATTTATACAATGGAGCCATGTATACTGACTTCAATGCAGAGACTCCCCCCACACAATTCCTTCCCCAAAAGAGCAGAAAACCTAGAGATCAGAACTGTTACACATCCATCATCCTTTCCCACCCAGGAAATGAAAGAGTGATCTCCAGTAAATTCTAAAGATTTGTAAGATATGGGCAAGGCGTGAAAGAATGGCAAACACAATAAACCAGAAAGGAAAAAGCAATGGAGACCTTAATAGCATTTATCAACATTTTTTGGAGCAAAAACAAATAAATAGAAAGACATCCCAAAAACCTCCATAAGTTTTGTATGGAAAGAATCACAACTGAACTGATGCTAAGGATCTGGCAAAAAAATAAAAAACCTGATGCCAAGGGAAAAAGACGAGGAAAACCATAATAATCTCTACATGCCAAATTGAACATAATATACCATTTCTCTAAAAAAGTCTTTCATACCGCATCAACAGCAGCCTCAGCTGGACCTCTGATAGTAATTAAAGTAGATTCAATTAAACGACGATATCCTTGTTCAGGAGCTATTAAGTGAGGCTGATATCCATCAGCTTCAGTAATGAGCTTCTTAATATTCTCCATTGATAGTTGCTTGTCAAATTGCAATCTTTTCAAAGCAGCAGGAAGTTGGTTGTCAAAAACATTGTAAACCTTATCACCACCAGAACGCCTGTGAACAACAATGAAAGTCAAAATAGAATCTCTACAAAAATAGCAAACATGAAAGAAGCGGTAGACATGTGACTTAAGGATGAAAAACAACACACGTGATACATACACGCCATCCAGATGTTCTCTGTAATTTTGATCAAAAAGACGGCATATCTCCATGATTGTGTACAACTTTCCCTGTAAAACCATCTCAACCATCAGCAATTCTCAAAGAACTTATAGCTGGGGATCAACTGCAAGTGCAAATGGCCAAAGAAATCCAAACTCCACAGTCCACAGAGAGAGAAAGAAAGAATAATAGGAGAGCACACTTACGCCCGCATCAGCTGCAATAGGCTTTCCAAGGCGACTCAATTCAGTTTCAAGTTCACCAACTGTCTTATTAATAAGGGACTGAATGCCTGGGATTCTGGACTTGATCACAGTTTCCAAATGCTGAGGACATTAACCGGTAAGACTAGGTTAATACAACTGAAAAAAAGGTAGCACTATTGAAGCCAGTATCATCCTGCCTTTGCAAGAGAAAATTGAGGACAAAAAAGTTTAAGCAAAAAACAAAACATGCACAAACTGCCCACTAGCATACCTTTGAGAGCATCTTAGCAAGATGCTCAGATCCCATTCTGTGAGCAAGGTGCTTATACTCTGGCGTATTAGCAAAATACTCACGTTCTCTTCGCCGAGCAGCAATCATGTCAACATTCTTATTAATATCTGCTTGTGAGCGATTCACAACACCAATCCAAGGGAATTTCAGCCGATACGATTTTCCTTCCAAAATCTAAATCAACAAAAAACATGACTTAGAACATGATAATGCCTAAGGCATCCAATACTCAAGACTTTAAAAGGTTTTAGCAAGTCAAAATCATGCATAAATCAACTTACATCAACTGCATCAGTGCCCTTATCCATCAGATCAATCTTTGTCAAGACACCAAAAGTCCTCTCCCCTGAAGTTTTATACCAACGCTGAGTATTGGAAAATCCAAAATGTGCAACCATAATACTTTGAACAATCCATATGTCAACAAACTTACACATAATAGCAATTTTTTACATAGAGTGTAAATTTAAAACCACCAATGGCTTCACATGATATTACTAATGAACAAGAAGATAAGATCATAATCTTGAGGTGCATAGCAAGGAAAAAAGAATATAGAACGAACTACCATCGCAAAAGATTACCTGTAGGGTCCACCTCACGTGAGATTTTAATTGCATCTGATGTGGCAAGATCTTGGTTAGCAGGTGAAATTGCTAAGATTATACAGTTAGGCTGCATATAAAGTTCAACAAACAAAAATAGCACAACACTGTTCAGCTTTTATTCTTGCATAAACCATGAAAGAATAAACACTGCAAAGTTATTGGGGGCAGAGGAAGCAGCAATTTACAGCAAATACTATCCATAATCCACTTTTCCTAGAATTTCAATAGCAATCACATTAAAAATATCTATTAACATAAAAGGTAGATGGCTGTAACATCATTGTAAATTTTATTGACGTTAATTTTCCTAGAACTAGTGCACTGTCACAGGAAAAAAAAAAAAACAAAATGCATTTTACCTTCTCAATATAGGAGCGAACCATATTCTCAATATCTAGCACAATGCTATCCGGTTGACCCTCTGCATTTAGCAAGATAATCCATCAATTGCACATAATATTATACAAGCAATCGAGAATTTCACAAATTATATTGCATGAGAAGAGCAAACAGGATAGGGGGTTAAAAGTGCTAAAGAGGTAAAATGCTATAGTTATAATAATATTTGAATTTTACATGGGAAAGAAAAGTGCAATGTTGAAGATTACACTTATTTTTAGGTCCCCGTGGAAATACATTGCAGTCAATCAATAACAGTAGACTAAAATTGAGATTAAGTATTATAAGGCTTAAAATCTCTTTGGATTTACTAGGCTTTTCCGTAAATTACCTATTGCAACCTTCGTAAGACCAGGAAGATCAACCAGGGTCAAATTGACAACTGCAACAAATTAAAAAAAATAATTAAAGAAAAAGGCTTGTAAATTTATAAATTAAATAATCAACAAAAGAAAAAGAATAAATTTTTACAACCACATCATACCGTTCGGAGAATATATACTAAGATGAATTGGAACACTGGAGATTTGTTTGGTTCGGCCGGTTTCTCTGTCCGTCTCATCTTGAATCTCCTTTCTGACAGCAGCTATAACACAGAAAAAATAATCTCTCGTTAAGTTAAAATCTAAGATATATCTGAAATTAAAAACAGAACAAGAACAAGAACAAGAAATTTACCGAAATCGGTGAATCTTTTCCTTGGAAGGTGAAGAAACTCAGCATATTCTCTGCTTCCTTCATCACTCTTATGAAGCTGTAACACCAGAGGTCTCCGAGTAACAATTCCTGCATTAATTAAAAAAAAAAAAAAGATTAATTTCTTAGTTTCTTAGTGAGGACGAGGAGGGATAGACTACACGCGGTAACTTATTTATTTTACCGGATCCACGAGGTAAAAAATCCTTGCTGACAATGCTTTCCAGCACCGAAGACTTCCCTGAACTCTGTTGAAATTCAAATCTCAGATCAGTCGAAACTAAAAGATGAAAGGAAGACAAAAGTTGACTAAAATTGAAAAAAGAGGGGAAGATCGAGCGCTGACCTGACCACCGACGACGGCGATCGATGGCAAAGAGTCCCAAAGAGTAGGCAATGCGCTTCCCTCTCCGTGATCACCAAGAGCCGTGCAAGCTCTTTGAATCTTGTTCACAAGAGAAATCAAATTATCCATCTCTTTAAAGCAAAGATCGTTGCCGGTGACTAAAACGGCGTCAGTTCGGATCAGCTAGATCTGACCTGGCTAAGTAAAGAAACGGCACCGTCAGATCTGCGTGAGAACCAAAGGAAGTGCCGTCGAGAGAAAGAGAAAGAGAGATTATTGAGTAATTTTTTCAAGTTTTGAATTAGAAGAAGAATAAAGAGCTTGCTTTAAAGTGAAGCGCGTTTTATTTTTTATTTTTAATTAATTATTTTTACCCCCGGTTTTCATTTTTCTTTAACTCGTTTGTTTTATTGTTTGAAAGTGATGCGAGATGTCGATGACTTCCAACAGTAAGGTGAGTGAATACGACAGGATTCATCAACGCCGGAAGATTAACGAGGCGGTTGGATAAAAAATTTGTTTGATCGCGAGTTTTTTGTTGCAAAGTCCGTTCCTCTTTTCTACCTAGGCTGCGTTTGGCTCGTTCATGTTTAAGTTTTAAAACTAATGGATTTTAAGTTTTTATTTTCTAGTATTGTTCTTTGAGAAATCTTCTTTCAATATTTTCTTCTTGTTTGTTTAATGAATTTTCTTGACTTTTAATAAAAAAACAATCATTTAATTTCTGTCATATACATTATTGATTTGCATTTAGTGAAAATCAAAACAAAGCTATACCGAAGTAAAAAAAGAAAAAAAAATCTAAATTGAAATAAGTAAAAGAAGACAAGGGTTGCAATGTAAGGTTCAAATTACTCACCAATGAACTACAGAAGTTTGGTTTTTCCCCCAAATTTTCATATTTGTTTATAGTGGAGGCCTACCAAATTTAAAACCCAAACAGAAGGACCCACCATTTTTTTTTTTAACCCAACGGCACAATCACATATGGCAACATTTTGGCAGTCCTCATTTTCCTTCTTTTTCTAAATTTTCTTTTGATTTAAGAAAAGGAGCTTAGTGCAGGCCTTTTCGTTCCACTTTTATCCATCCAAATAAACACTAACAAATGGAATTCTTAGCCAACATTTTAATCCCCATTTTTATTTTGCCGTGACAAGTCTTCCTTACAATCAAAAGCTAACAGATGGAATTCTTATCTAACATTTTAATCCCGATTTTTGTTTTGCCGTGTCAAATCTTCTCTATTTGACGTGATAAATTGCAATGTAATTATATATTCATATTTTATAGTATATCCCATCAAACGAAAAGGAAAAATTAATAAAAATAATTGAAGTGAAAGATCCATTCAAAAACCCATTAAAGCCGTTGGACTTGGCATGTGCGTGTCATGGGATCAGCCCAGTAAACCGTTGTCTTTCCAGTTGTGGCCCCTACCGACCCCCCACCACCACCCCGCCCAGTTTAAACTCCACCGTCAAATACATTTTTAATTAGTCAAATGCCCCTATCTTTACAACTGCAACCGAATCAAGCGGTAATGGATGCATGTTTATAGTTTATTAGTTTATTTTTAAAAATATTTATATTTAATTAAATTAAATTAAATGAATTCATTCATAAATAAATATATTTATTAATAATAAATAAAATAATAATCAAACAAATTTAAATAAATAAATTTTAAAATAAAATTAAAATAAAAAATATAATTTTATTTGTATAATTATAAACAAATAAATTTTAAATAAATTTATTCACAAATTTAAATAAATCATATAAATTTCTGTTCACTTCCGATTTATTTAATAAAAATATAAATATATTATTCCAAATAATTTATTAAACTTAATAAATCAAAGATGTTTCTATACCATTTGTTTTACACTCTTCCTTTCCTACTAAAGATAAAAAGGATAACAGAGGACAAAGAGGACATTTGCCATTAAAATAATTGTAGTTCATACAGGGTAACAAAACAATTGACTCCTTTTGATAACAGCCACAGAGGAAACTACTAGCAAATGAGGGCAATCGAAGCAAAGCCTACACAATCTGCCCTTTATTCTCCTCTTATTTTAATTCCTAAATCATAATAATCGCCTAAAATCTGTGCATAATAGAAGTTAGGAAAATCGAATCTCTGAAAAGTGTTGATAAGAATGGTGTGGTATAACATTGTCTTGGCACTCTGCTAGTTTGATTCGGGAGATCCATATCCATATGGGTTCTTGCTGGCCCAGTTCCACTGATCCCTGCACATCTCCTCGATGCCGTATTTTGCCCTGTAAGCCCAACAGATTTAAAGTAAGAACTATAACATAATGTGACAGAAACTTAAAGCTTTAAATGTATGTTAAGGTCTTACTTCCAATTCAATTCACGCTCTGCCTTTTCCGTTGATGCATACACAATTTCGGCATCACCAGGTCGACGTCCAGCCATTACAAGAGGAATTTTCTGATACAAGTAATAAATTTGTCATGTTGACTAAATATCAAGATATAACAAATGAGTTAACTCAAAAATATAAAAAGAAAAAAACCAAACAAGGAAACAATACCTTCCCGGATGCCTTTTCGAATGCAGCAACCATCTCCAAAACTGATGTGCCCTTTCCTGTTCCTAAGTTGTAGACCTCACAGCCTGTAATAGCATATCTAATAAGGACCAATTCTATTGAATTCTAGCCTCAATGTTTCCTTTTATGTATGTTCAAGGAATAAATAGTTGTAAATACAGAAAAAGAACAATTAAGAAAGAACCACATCAATATATGACTCGCTCTGCTACTGTAAACCAAATAATTGAGCATTTTAACGGTTGCAGACACAGCATTACATGGAAGAAAATTAAGGACCCTATTTTAAAAGGAAAAGGAAGAACACTGAACTAAGTTGGGCAAAGCAAAGAAAGTAAATATACCTATATTAGGATCAGATAATTTACGTAGTGCAGCAATGTGGCCGTCAGCTAAATCAACAACATGGATGTAATCACGTACCTGAAAAGAGACAAGTAATCAGCCTTTTATCACAAGTGATCAAAACCTTGAATACAAATTTCCCCATAAATAGATGTTTAAGTTAAAAAAATTGTGAAAGCTAGCGCAAAGAATAATCCTCAAGTCCTGAAGCATATTGTTTCAAAATGATGAAAGGCACATACTTTCTACGAGCTCATCTCATAATGCCAAAAAATGAGCCAAAGCTTCATGGGATGGTTTACTTTAATGCAAGGAAGAAAGGGTTTGCTTAAAGGAATGATGTGGCAACTGTAAAATTTGGATTTAGTGAATATGTGGAAAATGCATGGATTCCCAATGTCAAGGAGTATAGAAGGAATCCAAGGAAACATTAGGAGTTTAAACATATCAAGCTCAATTGACAAGGAAAGTTAATAGATGGAAGCTAAACAGAATTCAAAATCATATTACAGTTCATAGACATATTCAAAACAAATTCTGAAATATGAGATAAGATTTATTGGAATCTAACACCTTGTCATACTGACAAAAAACTTACCCCAGTACCATCCTTGGTTGAATAATCATTTCCAAACACTGTCAGTGCCGGTCGCCTCCCAACAGCAACTTGTTGCACAAAAGGCATGAGATTGTTTGGAATACCACGAGGATCCTCACCTATGTAGCCACTAGGATGTGCACCAACTGGATTAAAATATCTTAGAAGTATGATCTTCCATTCAGAATCAGAACCATAGACATCACGACAGATCTCTTCTATGAAAAGCTGAAAGACCGACCATGTCAGATATATGATTAGATGATGCTATGGGAGAAAATGTTAATTGACAAATGCCTAAGTGACAAATGCCTAAGTAACTCATAAGAGATTCATAAACAAAACAAGTAAAAGTGTAATCACTATTGATTGTTCTTTCCTTATTCATACTGTTTCTTAGAGTTGCTAAAGAGTATGTACTTAAGAAATGCTCAGTGCATACCTTGGTTCGTCCATATGGATTCACTGCAGCCAGGGGGAACTCTTCTGTACATGGAACCTCCTTTGGCCAGCCATAAACAGTAGCAGATGACGAAAATACAAGCTGAAATGTATTAAATTAGAAGATTGATTATGTTATAAAACTCAAACTGACAATCCAATTCATAACTCGTTGAATTATACAAATTTGTAAACTAATTCAAGATTCAATAGGGCCAGCCTCTGAAATTACACAAACATCTAAGAACTTAATCTTTGAATTGATCCAGAAGAAAACAAAGTTTATTTCTCTTTATCTCTAGTGTTAATGATTTCCTTGGTGATGCAAAGAAACAAAAGGCGGGTAACTGCATTTTATTTATTTATTGTTTTCTTATTGTAATAAACAAAGTTATATAGCTGCAGAACTATCACACATAAGGGAGAGAGAAGTACATTTTTACATCCATGTGCAGACATCACTTCCAACAGCGTGATTGTCCCAATGAGATTGTTGTCATAATAGAGCAAAGGTTTCTGTACACTTTCACCAACTGCTTTTAGTCCAGCAAAGTGAATCACAGCATCAAACCTGCAACAAAACCATGTAATAACCTTAGAGGTTGAGCAAGAGCAAGAGCAAGAGCAAAAGGCAAAAGCAAAACCACATTATCGATTCCTAACAGTACTTTGTGGCAGCAAAAAGTTTTTCTATTGCTGTCCTATCCCGAAGGTCCACCTGCAGTTGAAAGCAGAGGTTCGAACATTAGGACCATAACAGGTCTATGTTCATAACAAAAATTTGGTACGTAAATACTAGTTTAATGATCCAATAATTTTAAAAAAAAAACAGTAATGTTACAATAATCCAACGGCACAATGATGGATTTTGATTATTGGTCCAAATCAGACAAATTCCAATATACATTTTATTCTTAAGAACATAACAGTATAGACCCTTTAACTGAAAGTTTCCAGATGTTAAAAGGTTAACAGTTAATTACCGCAGAAAAATTAATGCGTAAAACTTTTATACATCATCCAGAAAAGCAATTAGATAACAGGTATAGGCAAGTAGTGAACTAGATCCAAACATTCCCAATCAGAAGAGCGCTTCAATAATTCTTTCTTTTGAAAAAAAAAAAAAGGTAAAGATTCAGATCAAAGATTTAAGAAAATAACACTTTTGCGTTGCTGACAATAAAATAATACAATAAACCAAACAGGCTTTATTATTATTATTATTATTTTTGTACATTTAAGGAATCTTCACCTGACAGCCCAGTAACTCTGTTTAATGGAATTATTATGACTTACGCATCTCTCCCAATTGGGCGTAACTTTTTCCACGTGCATTTCAAGCAATCTCCAATAAAATTCTTAGAAGCAGTAGTAACTTACAAATTACCATCCGAGTTCGATGGGAACAAAACCAAAAGTATTTATAAATCAGTTCACTAATTCCTTAATTAATCAAAATTAAAACTTTGGAAAGGCACGAGAAATAAAGATAGAAACTAAAACGTAAAAAAGATTCATCTACTATTTGCAATTATTTCAACAGTTTTTTGTCTAAGAAATTCAAAATCAATATCACCGAATTTGACAACACCCCGTGTTGCCAGCCAAGGCAATTCAATTATCAACTAGGCCTAAAATTATTCAAATTTAAACCGATTGGACCCCAAATTAGCGATGAAAACATAAAAATTTAATAAGCTTTCCTTCTTTAGCAACCAAGCAGTGTCTCATTAAAATAAGTACAAAATTACACCTCCAGGCAAATTTTTTTATTAAAAAAATGAAAAAAAAAATGAGAATCGGTGAGTTCAACCGTTCAACGAACCTGGTGAAAGGAAAGGTTTTTGCCGAATTCAGCGGCGAGTTCTTGGACTCTTTTGATAGCAACAACGGAGGAATTATCCAGATTATCAACGACCACCGCTTTGTAACCGCCTAACAGCAACTGCAACACCGTGTGACTCCCAATATAACCGGCTCCACCGGTCACCAGAATGTTCTTCGACATGATCAATCCAATCAAACTGGAAAAAATAATAGAGCAGAGTAAAACAAAAACCAGAGAGAAGAAGAAACTGAGACAAGAAAGTTACGGATACAAAGGCTTTTTCCTTGAAATTAAATGAAAGAGAATATAAGGGAATTTATACTGGGAGGAAGGAGAATTAAAGAGAGAAAAAGAAGGAGGATATATATAAAAAAAATTCAAAAGAGGGAGGAAAAGATTTGGCTTACGTTTTTGAATGATGAAGGAAAGAAAGCTGAGAGATTGGACACGTGGACCGACAGCGTCTAATTTCGAAGTCCGGGGAGTCACAGATTACGTGGCGGTTTTGGATAGGTTTGGACTAAACTAACCTTCTGGTGCTTTATTGTTTGTCGTGTTTGGAAGAGATATCCTCGGGGATGTTTTCCGGATAATTCGGTGAGGTTTTTGACTTTTTTTTTTGTTTTGACTGGGATAAGAAAAAAAAAAAAAAAAAAGGCAGTAAAAAAGCGGCTGCAGAAGTTTCAAAAGAAATAGTAATTTGTTTGGAGAAAGAGTTGAGTTGGAAACAATGAGAAAATAATGAAGAAATAAAGAAATTAGGAAATTAGCATATTAAAATGTCATTTAGCATTAATTTACATTTCCATATTTTCTTTGAAAATATAATTTAATATACTAACATTTTCTGCAGCAAGTTTTAATATAAAAAATGAGTATTAAAAACCATACCCAATTTACAATTAAGGAGATAATGGAATGTATTATTGTTTGTCCCATTAGTTTAGTCTCAATATTTTGTTTCCGGCAATTATTTATTGATTTAATTCTAATTTTTTTTATAAATTATGTGATTTATTCATATATAAATTGATAAACCTATTTTTGAAAATTGAAACAAAATTGGTGGAGTAAGTAAATTTGATTAATATTTTTTAAAATATTTTTATTAACGGTGCTTATAAACAATAATTAAGGATACTTAAATATAAAAGAAAATTATCCAATATATAAGTCTGTAAATTTTTTAAATTTTACCAATAAAACTAAAGACACGTACCTCTTAAATTAAAATATATTTTAAAATTTAATAAATAAAAAAATAAAACTAATGCATGTCATCCAAATATTAGTTATTATTTTCAATATTTAAACTAATGTCAGCAATGGCTAAAATTTCACTTTCAAAGTTGAATCATTAGTCATCCTCTTTTATTAAAAAAAATGCAAGCATTAAACTCTTTTATTTAAATTTTGACATTTCAAATATATATTATATATAATATAGTTTGATTATATAATGTTAGAACGTAAGTGTCATATTGAAAGATGTTTCTTGGTTTTTTTTTTTTTTAGAAAGAATTGGCCGTGGTACATTTGTTTTTTAAATGCATCAATGAGAATTGCATGAATAAAATTGCATTATCACGTGATAGTGCAAATGGAAGTGGTCCACGTTGATGGGAAATACATATTTTAGCGGCTTTTGTGTTGTGCTATTGCAGGGGAAAAAAAAAAAAAGGTGTCGATAATTAACTTTTAGATATAAGGGTATAAATGATATATTAATATTCGTAAATTATTCGAATTCGATTCGAATAAAATTTGAATTCGATTTGATTATTATCGAGTCGAATTTGAGTTTGAGTAATTTGACTTAGTGATTGAGTCAAATTCGAGTATTCTTATACTCGATTCGAATAACTCGTGAGCCTAATCGAATTTTTATATTTAAAATTTTTTATTATTTTAATCAATAAAATATCTCGAATTTAAATTCGAGCATAAATAATTGAGCTATTGCGAATATAAAAATCGAGCTTATTTTAACATATTAATCGAGCTTAATCGAGCGAGTTCGAGTAATCAATTTCGATTACGAATCAAACTCGAGCTAAAAAAATAAAATTCAATCAAATTCAAAACAAAATATCAAATTTCGAGTTAAAAACCGAATTCAAACTCAAACTTTTCATTATATCGACTCGATTCGGTTCAATTGCATTCTTATTTAGTGATACTCACAAAGTCACAATCCATAACATGCGGTGGGAAAGTGCAAAATCCAATATCAATGATATCCTCGAAAGCATTTATTAGAATATAAGATTTAGTAGTATTATTTTTAAAAAATAATATTTAATAAATTTAAAATTTTAATATTAATACTTGTAGCATTTTTATTTTTAAATACTGACCTTTGTTATGATTAAAAAAATAGCTGCTAAATAATTTATAATGAAAAAGAAAAGAAAATTGTTTAGAATCATAAAAAAAAAATTTGGGTTAAAGGACATTAAATAGCCATTGAAATAAAAACAGAAATAAATATTCATAAACATGGTTTTTGTACTCTCCAGAACAAATTAGAATTGCTAAAAAAATACTGGTATTTTGAATTTAAAACTTCAAACGCTTGGTTGATGTTTAGATTTAAATTTCAATATTTTTTATTTTTTTATTTAGGAACAAAAATCTCTTTTACAAAAAAAAAAAAAATAGTAATATTTTAGTTTCCATAAAAAAAATATATATATTATCTGCAATATGATGAACAATTTTAAGGCAGAGAATAAATTCTGTGGGACGGTGGGGGGTTGCCAACTTTTCAAAACCCACAATCTAATGCTCGTTTGAGGTACAAAAATCCATTTTCGCCTTCTTTTTGGCAAAGGAAGGGTAAGGCACGGAAGCGCAATAACAACTTCGTAAATGCTCCGGAATTCAGCAAAATCCTAAAACTGGATAACTTCCAGAAGTACCGGAAAAGATTGCGCTTACTTTTTCTCCACTTTCTTTTCCTTTTTTTTTTTTTTTTAATTTAGATAATGAAAAAAACAAGGTAGCTTCAGACTTTAAAATGAATAAGCAGGACCGACCATGAAATACATAAAGATGCATGTTACTTTTTATCTTAAACACCGACCAACCCCCAACTAAAGAAAACATTTAGACTTTAATCTCATAAAATACATAAAGATGCATGTTACTTTTTATCTTAGTTCTCAAACTACTGACTTTTGCATTCAAAAGCTATGGCATCTGAAACTTCCTCCTTCCATTCATCAACAACAAAAAAAAAAAAAAAAAAAAAGCGAACATAGACGAACAAGAAGGTAAAAAACGGTGAAGTGAAGGATTGTCATACACCTAACCTGGTTGGAATTTTGTTTGGTGTAACTGAGACCACCGGCAATTTGTATTTTGGTGGACACATGTTGTTGATAGGCCAACAACACAAAAGACAGACGTCAAACCCAACTCCCTTAACTTCTTCCAATTTAACAACAATCGGGCAATTGAAAATTTAAACATGCCACCAGAAATCAATGATTGAAATGATCACAGAAGAAGAAGAAGATACATAAAACATTTTCACTCCGATTTGTACATAAAAAAACATATATATTAGAATTGATGCTTTCTAATTCTCTCTGTGCACAAAATCCTCAGGTTTCAAAATGAAAATCACCATTGCTTTCATATATTTCATTACATGTGCAAACTGAAATTAATATACAGTAGACTGTGGTTCGAACCAAGTTATCCAATCCAGCAAGTTGCTGGAATAGCTTTTGGCTGTGACTAGGCAAGTGGCCAAGCATATATGTTTTGATGCCACCATCTTTCCCACATCTCATCCAGCATGAGATTCAAATGCTATAAAAGGTATTTGGATCAACTGTCAGACATCTAATCTCCATCATGGATGGCCCAAATTTGGACTGATACAACCAAAGACAAATGTCCTGGGGCTACCTAAAGCACATGATGCTTAACCATGAAAAGTGTGAGTTACTTGAATCAAATATATTATTGGTTTGATATTTGAATCTGTTCTGTTGGTATAGATTGGGAACTAAGTAGGCTTTCTGCCTCGTCATTTGCTTCAGCTTGGAGTCTCCATTTCTGTATAAACATGTCAGAAGAAATCAAGAGGGGAAGAAATTGATCAACAGTCAAATATCATGGTGGAGGGAGATTCTAAATTTTATTAATTAAATATTCCGAGTGTTGCATAAACAATTTCAATAAAAGCAATGCCTAAAACTACAAGTTTTATAGCAGGGGGAAAAGTAAAGCGAAAATTGCTTTGAGAGATAGGAACATGCCTCTTCAAGATTCTCCAGCTCCATGATTTGTTGTATCTGTTCAGTAAGGGTTGTCTACAAAAAAAAAAAAAAAAATTCACTTAGTTAAATTGATACAATACGTTTCGTACATTCAGTGAAGATATACATAGACTAGTGCTCACTGCATTGCTGGCTGCTTCAGCAGCTAGAACATCAGAGTCCATTTCTACCTCAATTTCGATCATTGAAGAGATCTGGTGAGTAAAAACAATACCACATATATTAATCTGATCCATTTCATAAGAATATACAGAAAAAAAGAGTTGTTGAGGTTTTCATAATAGAAAGACATACTCTTGCATAACTATCAATGAGTTCAATCCTTCCCCTAAGGGAACTCTCTAAGCCTTCTCTCACCCTTTTGATTCTATTTCTCCGGGCACTGAAAACAGATAACAAAAAAAAAAAAAAAAATTCGGTCCTACTGAAAATGAAGCAAGAGACCTTTAAGCCATGTGAAAACACAATGACTGCCAATTGAAAACATATTTATCTTAGGACCAGAAGGTATAAAATTAATGAAAAAAGGAGTAATATGAATGTGTAAAGAGTTTCACCGATAAGAAGGTTCTCCTACAGCAAAAATTTTGTTCTCCAATTGGCACATGCGAGCCAACATCCAAACCTACACCATGAAATGAACAAACTTGTTGAATAAAACTTCAAGCCACCCTATGATTAACTGGTATAAAAAACCACTATGACTAATGATTGATTGAGGCATGTGATAGTAACATATCTGGAAAAATGTGAGATGACGAAATGCACATTCTTTCAATTCATGTCTAGTCTAGAAGATTAAGAGATATTGCAATCCAGCTCATACTTCAACAACTACAACAACTACTAAATTCATCACCAATGTACAATATTAAAGTTCGTGTGAGAAAATTCACAGGTAGCAAACAATAAATTTTGAAGTTTTCAAGTTCCTAAATGTGAAAAAGGAAAAAATCATCACATGTAGTCAATTTAATTTATAGAGAACCAATTGTCACACACACACACACACACACACGTATAAAACAGGAGGTAAACAGAGTACATAATCTTCATATTGAATGTCGTATAAGACTTCATGATAATTAGATTTCATAACAGTCTTTGCAGATGCTCATTTCGAGTTGCTTAACTGGAAAAAAGACATGTACATTGATCCAAATTACATTCTTGACTCCATTGTTTGCAGTAATGCAAGTTTTCAAAATAATAATTTGAAGTTGACAAGATGTTGCTTTAGGACTACCACCCAGCCAGGGAGGGAGAAACTATGAGTTCCAGCACACCTTAGGGCAAAAAGTTGAAACTCTGAACACCAGGTGCCCAAGTGAAAGATCCAACTAGGAAAATAGTTAGTTATATAACAGTTGCAATTTGCAAGACCATACCTCTTTTTCAGCAGCTTCTTTTAGGTCCCTGATGCGAGACTGCAATACATCATACTGAGATAAAAGCTGCTGCTTGATAGCAGTTGTTTCCACCGATCTTTGAGGAAGCTGTCAACATCGATAAATAAATGAGTACACACTTATTCTCTCTGAGAACATTCCTCAACAGGTTCAATAGAAATAGTGGAATCAAATTGCAGAGATGAATTAAATTATCCTGATTGCAATTTGCAAGAAATAATACCTAAAATCAGAAACGATACTATCAAGCAATAATTAGCAATTAAACCAGAGAAGTGGAAACATAGTGCTATGAAAACTTAGAGTTGCATGATAGCCTAAAAAAGCGGTTGGAATCTTGATGATAACAAGGTTTTAAGGTTTAACGGGCAAAATGGTAGAACTAAAGCAAACCAAAATAATGGCTTACCTGATTGAAATGGGGAAAAACCAAAGCATTTAAAGTTGCTCCAACAGCAAGTGATCCTGCAGCAGCAACTGAAAGCAACTGTGGCAAGCTTGGGTCTATTATCCCTGAGGCAACATCTCCAGCAGCCAGAACAGTGAGAAGTGGAATGAAAAACTCAGGCTTAAGTAATGACGAGTTTCCATCTTTTGCAGGGGCTCTTAGTAATTGTGATTCCCGGCCATCTTTGTGGTTTGTCAGGCATATCGGTTCTCCAGGGTAGAAGTTAGGGGCCTTTGGACTAAACTTGAAGGGACCCACCTCTCTATAAACATTTGAAGGAGCAGCACAAGCAATGGTTACCCTTTCTCCTTCTTGTGCTGGGAGATCAACTGATTCAGTGGCAAATCTGTGTGTACGGGCCATACCAGAAGGAGTTTGTACCTAAAATGTGGATGAAGAAAGTTACTGACAGTGATAAATTATATAAATCCTGAAAAACATTCCCTAAAAAAAATCCTGTTTTCACAGATGAAATTAATAAGATAAACAAGTAGCATTTTTGAATGATCATAACCATTAGATACAAAAACCAAGTTTCGAATCCAAAAGATCATATTTTCAACTCAGAAAAGCTGAATGACTCAACAAGTTAAAAAAGCATACCAAAATAGAGTGCACAGCAGCAGGAAATCTTTGCTTCAGTATCTGCAGAGATTTTAGCCCCCTTTTCCAAGCAGGAATCTCCATGCTGCGTTCGGCAGGAGGAGTTCCTTAGAAAAAGTGAATATCCCAGCATCAACACCATACACGAATATATTATGTTAACAGCACTAAAACCAAAATGGTGCAATTAAAATTTATTGCTTTAAAGTCTGTCAATTTCAACTGATAAAACTAGTGCATTCATAATTGCCTATCAATGCAAGTTATGGTAAGTTTAACCACAATTAACCAGTCAAATACTTTATCCTAATTTCCTATAATGAATTATGTAATGTGTCATTTTCAAAGTATTTCGTGAGTGTACTAAACTTAGAAGGTTGTAATATGGACACACTATTAATCAAGCACATGATGTTTGTGGCCAACGGTCAACCATCCTTAAAGTCCAATGCCATGGTCGAGGAACATAAGTTTAAAATACAAGTTATGTAAAAAAACAAATTTACATCTCTTGGGGAAAAGTTAAACATCCCAGAAAGTAAAAGATGCAGAAATAAACCAACCTGATTTCTTCTGAGTCAACACTAACTATGTTCCCAGAAATAAGCTCATACTTGTAGCGACATTTGGCACAACATACAATCTGTGGAAATGTATAAACATGAATTTCGGCTTAAGCCTTCAAACCTTATGCAAAAAATCCTATAGAGGTGCAGAAACAGAGCTTAAAATTTCAGGCTACCTTTGGAGAAAAGCTAGTTCTCTAACAAGCACAATTCAGAAAAAAGATATTTTTGGAAATAAGAACAAAAAAAAAAAAAAACACTACAAAAAGAGAAGAAAAGGATGCAATTTAAGTTCTAGCAATCTACTAGGCAAGTAAAAATGCATTATTTTTTCCCTTCTCTGGTGGAGACCATAGCCTTGCGGTTGGCATATGAGGATAAAGGTTCAAATAATGCAGTTACAAGTTACAACCTAGATTTTGTGGCCAGATAGCACTCTTTAACAAACTTACAATCCTAGAAGTTGTAAATATAGAACAGGCAATAAATCAGCGGTAACAACAAACTTCAATGAATTTACCTGAATTCCGAGTTGTGGTTGAGCAACACCAACAGCTATGGTACAAATGGGACATCTCACAACTTTCCCAAAAGGAACCTTTCAAAAGAAGGAAATAAAACAAAAAGACCCACAAGGTTTTTTCAATCAGTATTATCAAAAGGAACATCTTTATAACTAAATAAGTACAAAGAGAAAACTTGGTATATAGTCCATACCTCCTCAGCAGGAGAAACTCCAACTCGGCAAATATCATCGATCATTCTAAGAGCATCAGAGACCCTTAACGATGCAGCCAAGCCCTGAACTAATGTAGTGTAAATACCAACATCGGGTCTTGACCATGTCCATCTATCAACCAACGGTCCATTCTTACTTACACCTAATCACCAAAAAACCTTGAAAACTACAAATCTACAATAGAAATACAATATTTTTCAACGTTTTAAGGTTTAAATAAAAAATTAAAAAAGAAAACCAACCTGTGTCGAAACTGGAACGCATGGCGTAGAAAACAGACAAAGCCAACTCAGCATTGTTTCGATCAAGCGCAGCGTTTATTATCAAACGACAATCAGAACCACTCACGACGCCGCCGTTTCGTTGTTCACTGCTTTCACCCTGATTCTGAGTGATCATTTCGAGTGCTTCGTCCGCATCTTTAGTAGACGACACTATGCTTAGTAACTCCTCGTTTAAAAGGGAAGTTTCCTCCTCCTCAACGACGCCGTTTGGTTGGTTTTCCTTCGAGGAAGCTCTGGCTTTGAAAGGTTTGTTAGTTTTGAGAGAAGAAAGGGAATTGGAGCGTAAAAGGAGAGACAAAAGAGTAACGTTGTTGTTGTTGTTGTTTGGGGAACATTCGTAAAGTCTGGTGTTTGGAGGAGAAAAGCAAGACAGCCATGGTGAAGAAGCTATGTTCAGAGTCATATTTTTCTTCTCTTTGCTTTTCAGATTCTTAGCACTTCTTAGAACTAGAAATGCATTGTGTTTTTTTTTTTTTTTTTTCCACTTGGGAGGAAGGAGGAAGATGAGGAACGAGAGGCTCAGAGGACAAATTGGACGGGAGAAACTTGCTTGTTTATCGTGTGCATACTGTGTTTGCTTGTGAGCCGTTGATGGTGTGCCATTGTGTTTTTAGCAAGGATAAGACACGTGCGTCATGCCCAATCCCGGTTGATTATGTAAGGAAGATAAGAGAAAGTATTGAAAAATCAAGATAAGAATGGAGGTGCGGGGAATCGAACCCCGTGCCTCTCGCATGCGAAGCGAGCGCTCTACCATATGAGCTACACCCCCGTGACGACAGTTAGACGGTGTAGATATTTTATTAATTATTTTTATATACGTTGCGTCCTCCGATTCCTTAGTTCAATGGGTTGGTGGCTGATCATATCGCCAGCTGTTCTACGGTATCTTTTTCACCTTTTTATAAATGTTGGAACATAATTATAAAATAACAAGCCATATCTTATAAATTTTTTTATAAATATATTCAAGAGATTTGTGTACGTTTGATGATAAAATACAAATATATTGATACAATGAAAACATATTCCTCACGTTGAAAGTCCCTTTCACTGTAATGTTAAACACATTTTCTGCACTGGCTTGATAGTAACTTTTTCCCCAGGGCTATGTGGTTGCTAGGAGCAGACAGTTTCGAAGTTTAGCAAAGAGAAACGGTTTGTCTATATGCATATTTGTCAGCTTGAATTGACGTATTCCAGTTATAGTTAATCCTAATCACGCCATGCTAATTGTATGCCGCCATGTTGCTGAGCCCTGACTCATTAGATGATTAAGAGCATAATCGGTTGCATTGACCATTTTAAAAGTTCAAATGGACTCATGGACTAGAAAAGGACATTCTCGAATGGATATTTCATTGCCTACAAACACCATAAAGGCATAACACTGCTCCCAGTGCTCAAAGCAACAGCAACAGTTCCAAGAACCCAATAGCCAAGTGAAAGAAAAGAAGGAAACCACTATGCATCCCTTGTTAAGACGGATTTAAACAACACAACTGAATTGTCACATTCCCGCATAAAAAGCTTAAGAAGCAAGTTGATATATTTGATAGCAAAAGTGAAAAACAAGAAGCCAGTATCAAGAACCTTAGCATCCATATAGGTAGGCAGAAATGACAATATAGAAGAAGCTCTCAGCAGCTTGTCCTACAGCACAAGGAATACACCACGCAAAACATTAGTTGCTAAATCGGCCTCTTCCCCAAGGCACTCTTTGTTGACCACCACCATTACGTTGTACAGCATTGGTTTGGCGTGACAGTACCCTCATTCGCTGTTCCTTCATATTGGCAAACAACGAGTCCAGTGTTTGAGACCTTTGTTTTGTTACTATGTTTCCTTGCTCCTGCTGCTGTTGTTGTGGCTGCTGCATCTACAAAGATAAAAATTTCTCATTTGGCATCAATACAGCATAACTAGTGTAACAAGCAATTCATTTAAATGACAACTTGGGAATTGCAAGAGAATCCCCAACCCAATTGAACACGTAAAAAATTAATTTGCAAAGTCAGGTTGATAAAAAAAAGCAACAAGCTTATAGAATCTATGTTCCAAGTCATGAAAATGTATACCTTTGCTGCAAAACCTCCATTTGCAGCCCTTCTTTGGACAGTTGGTGCTCCAATCCTGCACCCATAAGTGAAAACCATGAATGGATAATTGAAACAGTACCTAAACAATCAGTGAGGTAAGTCCAACAAGAAACTAGTTTCACCCAACATGCCCAGCAACCAGCACCAAAACATTGAGACTTGAAAATCTTACCATCAGAAGAAGAATATATTTATTTCCAATAAACAAAAAGATAAGACAAACCATCAGAAATATAGCTCATCTGTTTTCCACAAAACTTTTCCAATTCAACAACATAATCAGGAAGTCAAAACGCCACTCTGGAAATGCTTTACTATAACAAAAAAAAGAGAGAAAGCCCTCCAATGCAGTAGCAGAACTGGGGAAAACCACAAGGGTGAATTCTCCAGACTGTCTCACAAGCAGCAAACTCCCATTCAAGTAACCTTCAAACCCACCTTGTGAAGAAATTTAACAATCTCCGTAGATACCATGAAAGGTTGTGTAATAGATGTCAAATTTACATCAAAACAACTAGATAAATTCAACTTAGCCCTTTCAACATTTCCCAACTCAATATTCTTCCTGCTTCAATATTTCTAGCTCAAAGATTTCAACATGGCACCAGAGGCAGCAATCTGTTTGCTTCGCCAAAATAATATCCATTTTAAATAGAGTATCATTGTAGCAATCAATCCATGGTTCTTACGAAGATAAAACCCAGGCATAAATTAGGCAGGTAAGAGAAATCCTAGAAATAATGAGAAAGATAAAGCATCAACTGTTGACTGGGAAAAAAGGGCTCATTGGATAAACCACATGCCTCCTGACTAGTTAAAACAAGCAGTGTAAATTGAAGGATATGCAACCTCCCAATGAATAAAGCTATTCATTAAAGAATCTCAAAGTGGCCAAAACTACTTGATGAAGAAAATCAAAATCAAAGCAATGACCCAGCAGATGGAACTACAAAACCCATTAGCATGAACACAAACCACCCAATTAACATTTCTAGACATGTGAAGAGTTTGTCCAATCACGTGACAAGCCACCTATATGAACAATTTTAATCTTTGGAATGCGCATATACAGCTGTTGCAAAATAGTAATCATCAAACTCAGGTTTCATGTTTTTCTAAATCCACCTTCTTCAAACATGATAACCATATTCAACACTTGCTACTTGACGCTTCAATATCCAACCCAAAAGGCAGAAAACCAATAAAAAATAGGCACCGCTGAATCTGATTAAGGGACTTTGCACAGCATAGATATGAAGCTTATTTTAAAAGCATAGACTTTTGGGTAGTATGAACAAGAAAAAGCCAAAAACTTCAAGATAATCCCAAAATTGGCCACTTTTCCACAAGAACCTAATCAAATATTTGGGAGTTCCACAGAACATGCAACTTGAAATAAGTTAATCAGGACCGCATTCCAGAGGTCATCAATATCGTAGAAACCATGATTTACCTGCAATGATTCAATGATAAAAACCAGTCATTAAATGGATAGTAGTGGTTGTTATAAACAAAACTATTATTAGCTACTAGAAACCACAGCTACTAGCATAAAGTAACAATATAAGCTATTAGAAATCCATATACCTTGGTTTGTTCATACTAGCTACCCTGCTACCATTAAATGCTCTAACTCGAAATGGGGCAACTGCAGCCCTACGTGCAGCCTTAGCTGCCAAAGGAAATTGGTTCCCCTGGAAACTTGACCTTCTTTGAGCTAGAACTCCCTAATTAACATACATGGAGCAGAAAGGAAAAAAAAAAGCATTGAAGTCAATGTGTGCACCAAGAACATATTCCAAATTTATCAACAACAGCAGTAAAAATCACACACCTGTCTAATAGAGGACCGTGAGTCCATATACTGTCGCACCTTCAAGGCCTTCTCTTTAGCAGCATTACTCACAGATTTCTGATTTTTATTCTGATGGTAAACAGAAGGACAAATCAGAAATCAACTTAAACGTGTGGAACAATAAAAATGAGTTTCGTGAGTAAGAAAATCCTTACTGGTACCCTTCGCTGCTTCTTGGATTTATTTGAAGTATTTTTTGACATTTTAATGATATCATCTAAGTCCATAGAAAATTTTAAAAAAAAAAATCAGAAAACTGTATTCACCATAGAAAAAATAACTTGAAAAGGCACAAACACTAGTAGCTCACCCAATGTCATGTCCATTTTCTTTTCTGTGAGAGCGATTGCTTCACTCGAAAGTGGTTTAGCCGCCATCTGAAAAGGTAAGCATCATTAATCCAAAACGGTAGATGGGAGATAATTCGAAATAAAGTAAAATAAATAAAGGAAATTTTTAAAATTAAAAAAAAAAGGTCAATCTTAGGAGGCAAAACACAAAGAACTTAAGGAAAAAAAAAACGCCCTTTTAAGTAATTTTAAAATAAAAATTACATAATAAATAACATTCATGACAAAAATTTATTCACTTGTATTTGCTTTCCAAATTTTAAATTTAATAAACCCTAAAATTTTTAAGAATTAATCAAACGAAATAAAAAAAAAATCCTCCTTTCACGAAACCAACATACAACTGAAATAACATATAAATCAGCAAATTTTCGGGAAAAAAAAAAAAGGAAAAGAAGCCTGGCCGGCCGGCTAGTTTTCCGCAGATGCTCTACCAATCAAGAGAAGAACTCATTAAACAAACAATAGAGATACCGATTTGCATATTATATGAGTGAGATTCGAGAAAAGGTAAAGGATTTGAAGAGAGAAACTCACCGACTTTGAAAATAAATTAAACGAGCAGCTTTGATGAGTAAAACGAAACGAATTCAAGACTAGGGTGAAGCCGGGGATAGGGCTAGGGCTTTCGAAGTTAATTCTCGAAGCAGTAAAATAATGTTGAAAGGAAAAATATATATATTGAAATTCTTTGGATGCTTCGCTGTTACACCACAGCAAAATAAGTAACAAGTAAACCACCCCGTGGAAACTGGTTCTTATATATAGGACTGGGCAAGTTGGCTAGGCGGATTTCAAGTTCCCATTAAAATTCAATCATTGATCGGTAATTAGATTTCAAGTCCGTCTTTAACTAGGGACCATAATTATTACGTCATAAAAGTTTTATGGGTACTTAGGGTAATATGCAGAGTACAGCCTAGATAGAATCACGAATTCACGATGGTTTTAGCTATCGGAAGAAATACATGTTCGCCACGTCAGAGAGTGTTGACTTGCTTCATTAAGGGATGTCGACGCCTTACGTGGCATGATGTTATTGGTTTTAGGCAAATTGGATTGGTTAGCCATTGATTCCTAAACCCGTTTAATTAATAATTTTTTATTTACCTTTTATTTTTATCATTCTTGTAACAACAAAAAATAAGTAATAAAAATATAGAAGAAATTATTTAATTTTTTTATTTTTAAATATATTTTAAAAGATATATACCACTATATTAATCTTGCAAAATTAAAAAATATAACAATAATATATTTGATAATTTTTTAAAATATAAATAAGTATATAAATGAGTAAATTACCTAATTTGCACAGCTGACAAAAGAATCAAACTTGAGGTGACAAAAACATTTTTTTGGGTGAAAGGTGATATCTTACTGAGAAAATTTTGTTCATTCTTTTGATTAATTTTCTAAGTACGAGTAATAATGCAAAGAGAATTTTATCCCTGATTGCCGAAAATCATAATGTCATTCCAACTATGACTTCATTTTGGATGCGTGTAAGAGAATTTGTACCCCCAATCATCATGTTGTTTTACAATTAAAACTTTATCTATAAAACATAATTACACAATTAAATCTAATCATAAAACACAATTACACAATTACGACGCAAGATAATTTCTTTCGACACACAACAAAGGAGCCCAAGTTGAAGCCAATATTCTTTTTTATATATATATAAATATGGCAATTTTTTTTACCCCTCAGAATTTGTAAAGTTCACTTTTGAAAATTTGGGCCAAAAGAAACAATAGCTTTGTCCTTTTACAATAAGATATTTTTTTCATTTTTTAAGTCATTTTTATTGTAAATAAAAAAAAAGAGGAAAAAATTCTACTATGAACTTAAAACATGCAACATTTCCCATGAAAGTAGATTTTATTTTACCCATAGGGAACCCCATCATGCAGAGTTGATTTATTTCTATCCAGACCTAAAAGCACACATTATAATAGTCATTCCATAACCAAAAAAGTTCATAGCCTTAGGCCATTATTTCCACCTTACAATTAAATTGTGAAAAGGGATTATTGCTTTTGAAACCAAAAAAAAAAAAAAAAAAACAGAAAGATCATTGTTGTTTTATGTGGTTTTTCATGGCAAAGCTGTTTGCTCACCTTGAAAAACACGTCCTTATTCTAAAAATCATGCCTCTATCCCACACCTGATGTGGGACTAAATTTTCCTGAACTACTGATTAACGGGGAAAAAATATGTCCTCATCAGTCATAGATCCAATACTCTGGGTTGCTTTTATAGCTAACCAATTCTTGTGGCTTGAACCACAGGTTGATTTCATTCTTAGCAGTCTCAGGACCATCACTCCCATGAATTATATTTCTGCATGGTAAAACAACACAAGCTTTAGATCGTGGTGCCAAAGTCATTTATGTAAAACAAATCTACAGCAACAACAGAAGTTTATACCTTCCGACGACCACTGCTAAATCACCTCTGATGGTTCCAGGCTCTGATTTCTGAGGATCTGTTGCTCCAATGAGTTTCCGGCCATATTTTATCACTCCCTCTCCTTCCCAGACCTGTACGAATGAGATTAGTTCAGCTAAGCTCAAAGCAAATACAACGAGAAGATAAGATTACTAGTTCCTCTTACCATAACAATAAAAGGACCAGAGCTGAGGAATTCACACAAGCCATTGAAGAAGGGTTTTTCCTTCAAGTCATCATAATGTTTCTGGGCAAACTCCTTTGAAGGAACCACTATCTTGATAGCAACAAGCTTGAACCCCTTACGCTCAAATCGAGATATGATTTCTGCAATCTTGAATATATACATGCTTTAGTTCAGCTATCAATCATTTTTCAATCCATAATTCATGAAACTGCTAAACTTGAAAAGAAGAGAAAAGCACAATGTCCAGCATAACTTTTTCTACGAAATACACTACAAGCAGAATGCAACAATTAAGGACAATAACATTGTTGATATTCATAATTTCAATCTACACTAAGATGATTGGGAAGACATCTTAAGTTGATGATTCTGATCAGATGAATCTTACCAACCTTCTTTGTACTCCATCAGGCTTGATAGCTATGAAGGTGCGCTCCATCTGAATGAAGAAAAATAGTTCATCCCATATAGAACATAATGAATATATATATATATATATATATATATATAAAGAAATGGACAGCATATACAGTGAAAAGTATAAAGTATTAGCTATAAAATGGAATGGTGTTCGATTACCTCTGCAGCATGAGCCTCCTGGTCCTGTAGCATGTAAGCTACAAATATAATGAAAACAAACAAACATTCAGGTCATAGTATTTTTCACCTTTCTATGTTAAGGGAGAGGCAGGTGAAATTCATCTAGGAGAGATCAAAATACAAAGCCAAAGTTTTTGCTTTTGAATTTTCCATTTTAGGTGATAACAACCCATGATACTAATGGTAATCTTCATTCTGTTTTAGAACCAATTCCAAGAGTAGCATAGGTAGAAACTTAAATTATCTGGCACCTTAAAAGGAATTAATCATCATCAACAATTGATCAAAATCATTCCATGGATGTAGCTCCCCCAACTATTATTAGAGTAGTGAATTTCTTTGTGATAAAATTGACTACAGAAATTTGAATGTGTGGTTTGTAAGTATCTGTGAAGGCAGGCAGAAGATGGATATGAAAAAGAGAGAGCAAAGGCAAAAAGAAGAAAAGGCAGCAGAATCAAGTGCAGAGATATGATGATAGCCAGTACATTTTCATTATTTGGGGATCTGGGCACAATGTTGGCGGAATTTTAGGGTAGAAATCAAGTCTAAATTACACGACAAATAATTCCCCCCATTAATGTGCTAAAGCAAAGTATAATTATAGTTGAAGAGGTCCAGGAAGCCACAATGCTAAAACTTGGGCAAGGGACAAGGCTCCTCTTCTTTCACCCAAAATTGTAAATTTAGAAACTCAACTTGGGCCTTTTATTTTTCCATCATGTATATTTTGTTTTAAAACAGGATTGGGTAACAGAGAGAATTAACTCTAAATGGCAATAGATGCATGCATCCGAATCAGAAAGTCTAAGGAAAAAAGTTGAGCGATCCAAACCTGCCACTGGAAGAACAAAAACTCCAGAAAGCCATATTCCAGTTGCATTGGCAGAACCACTATTTCCATAAGCGGAACCTAAACGAGGCACCTTACCACTAAGTGAAACTGCTCCTGCCGCAGCTACTGCAAGCCCTTCTGCTGACAATAACACAAATGTTAAATAGATCAAAACATAACATTTTGCATGTTAAAACACCAGTACTTTCGCCCCATGGATGAAAACTTATACTGTGTATGCAAGTAGAAACTCACACATATCTCTGCGTAAACATTAAAATTTAATGCAATTGAAATTATCATCACATAAATGCACGGTTTTTTCAGTATTACAGACATAAGTAGTTTTTTAACACACGCCCGCACTAAAGATCGCTCCAAAAGGAGATTAGGCCCAAACACACTTTAGGAATACCTTGACCGACTTACGGAAAAAAAAAAAAAAAGAAACTTGTACATTCGTTACCTTCTTTCACAAAACGAAAGACGGTTAGTGCCTTAAGCCATCCATTTCTTGGAGAGAATTAAAAAAAAAGGGTCCTCAAAATGGATGGATAAAATCAGTAAAAGCATGAAAGAATACAGAATGAATAAAATTGAAGCGAATACAGATGTAGGAAGCAGTAGCAAGGATGCAGAAAAGATGTGGAACAAAACTTTTTCTTTCCCTTTTCTCTTTAGTAATGGATGGAAAGCAAATCAATCAGGGACAATAAAACAGAATTGATTCTACAACCAAAAAACTTTAAAGTAACATTCCTCTTCTAATCTCTCCCCTTTTTGAGAGTATAAGTCAAGACCAGCACAACGTGTTAGGTTCAACATTTTACAGCTTGAAGACAAGGGTAGATTCTCAGTCACTTTAGTTGCCAAACAGGGGACTAGCAAAACTTCAAACCAAACAAACACTTTCAAATCAGAGATTGATCCAAAACTAGGAATAATAATATTTAAAAGAAAAAACCAAAGTTGCATTATCAGGAAATTTGTTCATCAAAAAATCACTTGACAGATCAATCAACCATCAGCTTCATAATAAAAAGAAGCTGAGAAATAAGCAGGACGTTACAAAACAATATGGAAAATGAGATGAGAACATTATTACCAGAGTAAAAGCGAGAGGTCTTGGAAGCTGAAAGGAAAGACCTGGCAGCTCTAAAAGCAGATATGAAAATCTAAGACCTCATTTTTTTTTCCTTTTTTGGGAGCGATGAGTATGAGGTGAGAGCCAAGGAAGTGTAGTGGACGAAGAAAGAGAAGAAAAAGGAATGGAACTGTGGAAGACTGTGAAAGCGAGAGGCTTCTTGTATCTTTGTTTTTGGTACTATTAGACTATCAGTTAAGTAATCGGTGATATTTGATTGGTTTTCACTGCGGTTCAGTTGGTTTGGTTCAACGCATGGTTTATTCATGGAATAAAAAGAATATCATTTTTATTGTTTCAATTTCAATATATTAAAAAATTATAAAAAAACTAATTTCTTATAAATTTCTTAAATTTAACTTAAATAAATTTAAAATTGATGAAAAAAGAAAAACGTAAAACCCAGAATTAAAGATGATAATAGATCAAATCAAAATAAATTTTTACTTTGTTTTTTTAGTTTGATCTGATTTTATAAAATAAATATTTAACTCGATCTGATTATAAAATATTTTTTTATATTCAATTTGTATATATATAAAATTAAAATTGATCTTATTTGAAATTAATGTAATAATTTTAGTTTAATATATATTTATAAAATATTTTTTATATAAATTATATCTTAATTATATTTAATATAATATTTTATTAAATTAATATCTTAAATTAAAATATTATATAATAATTTTATCAATATAATTTTTATATATAAATATAAACTTAAATTAATAAAATATATATATCAAATTGGATTACAATAAATTTATCTAAAATTTAATCTTTTTTTTTATCTAAAATTTAATCTTTTTTTTTTAATTTGATCCTGACTCAAAATCTTATTTAAACAAAAAATATCTATCTTATAAAATTGGGTCGGGATATAATTACCAACCGCTGCCGATAAATAAAATAAACTTTTCGAAACCGTACGATCTGATCGCCAAATGTAAATGCAAAGGTAAAGTTCCTTTTTTCTTCATCTTTTATTTTTTTCGCAGCGAGGCTTAAACACACTAACAAAGACCGTTGGAGTGGGATGAGCCCAAAAGGCTATAGTTATCTGCTGATTTGTTTTTTTTAAAAGACCCAAAATGCAAACCAACCAAAAAGATTTCTGTTTTTTCCTAATACCTAGTTCATACCAAATATATACTAGATTGCTTCTCCATCAACATTATGTTTTGTTATTAACGAGGAGTGGTACAAATGATTGAAATTAAGACTTATTGGCACGGGTATACCTAATTGGATATTCCAGCTTTACGGGATCTAACTTCTTGTTGTCAACCTCTGCATTAAGAGGTCGATCACAATAATTTGGAGGGTTCTCTCTGGAGAAAAGCTGTCAATAACGCTTAAACTCCTCTGCTTTAAACAATTTTGAAGATCTAACAAGACCCTTTCCTTAGCATGCAAAAGAAGTTGGTTGACCAAACCAACCAACCAAAATTCTCATTTCTAAGAGAAAAGAATTACAACTCAAGAGGAATAACACAAGACAGATATGCTGATTTATTTGAAATACCAACATATGTACATTCACAAAAGAATTGTTAGTGGGATCCCAGTGATTCAATGTAAGCTGAGTTCAATATGCACGCTAGATTTGACCTATATACAAGTTACTGTTAAAAAAATCTGTAAATGGTTTTACTTTTCACTAGAACCATTTGGAACTTTAACATCAGAACCCACCTTGCAGTCTGTCTGCAAAGCCGATAACCAGGTGTCCACCTAGGAAAAGGGATAAAAAAATACAAGTCGAATTTTATAAATAAATGTTACATGGATGCACAGCAAAGTTGTATGATACGTGGTCCAAAATTCAAACATGCTCCAAGGGTTTTGTTGATCCTTTTTAAAACATATAAAACCGAATGAAAATAAATTTTAAGTGTTCTCACAAATCATATTCTTTACAACCATCTATGCTGTATCCATTCTGCTGGCATTTGTTACAAGGCAACTATAATGGAAGAGAATCTGACTAATAATTATAACTATGAACAGTCATGATCGATATTTAATGGCAACTGATGAAAATATGTACATGCATGGACAGCATTAAATTCTAGATAAATCAAAACACTTACATGGAATTTAATCATAGTCCAATTTCATATATTTTAGCCAGCTTGAGGGGCAAAGATTGTCATGCAGATTGATGTTCTCTTTTCCTCCAGATATTACTTTGCTTCATTTTCATCAATTGAAAATATGAAAATGGGGAATCAAGCTCGAAATCAACTCAAGATATAGTCCAAGTGAGATTTTATTACCATACATGCTTAGCTGCATACTTTCCAAAATAACATGAAATTGAAACAAGAACCATTTTATGCATTTAGAACAGAACAAACATATGCAAAAACTGATTTAAACAAGTATGGAAATAAATATTGTATAATCTGTTGATACTATATGCATATTAAGGACGTAAGATATACCTGTATTTTAGAAACATGTGAACACTCGTAGCGCAGTCCTTGACGAGTTAAGATATAAAAGGAATATCGCGTCCCTTCATCTTCTCTTGTAAAGCTTGGCAGAGAACCTACTTCAACAACATCAGACAGAAGGGTGGAATCCTGAGGGCTCAAATCTGCATGGTATAAATTATGGAGTTGATCAGCAAGTAACGTTTAAAATCCAACAGCATACGCTGTATTTACATTCAACCAGCCCATTACGTAAACCCTTCATTGCTAGTGGTTACTAACTAGGCTTGACCAAGTTGAACTAAAAAAATAATTTTGACTTGAAAATTAATGATGTGTTCTTGAAGAAGAGAACAATGAAAAACTACTTGATTATATTGAAATTTCAGCTCTTGTACTCCTGACAGAATTTATGTCATTTTTCATTTTATACTAATTATGCAGCATGCACCACATAATCTCAATGCAATTTATTGTAGTAATAGAATAAAAAGGGAGAATACATCAAAGGTTAACTACCTGTGGAGGATAAATAGAAGAATATACATTTGCCGTGAAGAACAACAAATCTAGGAAGCCAGTCATCAACATCGGTATCATCAATAGGAGCAGGTTCTCCAGGTAAAGCTGTCCACCTCTGTGAAAGAAAGATATGAAGGAAAATCATCAACATGAACAGTAGCAGTGCATGAAAAGAGAGGATGCAGTATAAACAAAATATGAAGCAAGTTAGCAAGATGGGCATGTTCATACGGTTCGGATGTACAAATAGCCAGAAAGACGAGCAGACCGCAAAATTTCATCAATATGTTCCAACCTGCATAAAACAGAAACATCAATAAAAGAAATGCAGAAACATTGTGTCTAAATCTCAACAGTACAGTTGATGGTGCTAGGATTTGTGAATATATAAGCTCAGGAAAACCCAAATTCCAACCTGCATAAAACAGAAATATCAATAAAAGAAATGCAGAGATATTGTCTCTAAATCTCAATAGTACAGTCAATGCTGCTAGAAATTGTGAATATATAAGCTCAGGAAAATCCCTAAGTAAACATTGAAACACCAATGGTTCAGAGACCATTATTTGCAAGTTGGGCCCTGATATATAGGAATAGAATTCCACATAACTTCCGGTTCCAGAAACAGTAATTCAAAATTATAGAAATCGAGCATAACCTAGTTCATTTATCATTAGAAGTTCAAACTTAAAAGGCTCAAACTGTCAAGCATCGTCTTTCCACCGCATTGCATTCTGATGGACATACATATACGGTTGAACAAAATATGTATAATGGTTCAAAAGTCAAGATTCAACTCTTCCGTACCGAGCTTTCAAGTGAGCTTCTCTCTCTTCTATATCAGCAAGTTCTGATCTAAGCGACTCCAACTCTGCAGCAGTCAACTGAACCTGCAAATTAAAAAAAAAAATTATGGTGATAAGGGATTCTGACCATCAATAAAGCCAAATGGCATGCTTCAAAGAGGCTGTTAAATGAACCTTTTGCTGACCATCAGCATCTCTCCATGGCAACCCACGTAAGCTGAACAGATTCAACATGAATGCAGCACTTTTCAATTTTCGTCCAGACCATAAACTGCTACAGGACCTATCCTAAAGCAGAACCAAAATATTGAGCTAAGATGAACTTGAAATTCTTAATCTGTTCTCTTTTTAACCTTCAGGAAGTAATACCTTGAAGAATTATCAATAATCGGCTGTGAAGCAGGTGAACTTCTGTCCTGAGGAGAGTCACCACTGGGAGTTGAGATTTTAAAATGATCTGGAATCACCTTGATCTTCCCAAGACCGTCATCCATAAAGTTATATTCACTATAGGAAGATGTACAAACCTAGGACCAATAAAAGTAAAAATGACAATCATACAATCATACTCATAACAGATAACAAAACTTAAGATGATGTGATAAGCTTCAAAGTCTAGAATGTCTAAGAAAGAGAAAGTTTAAGTGCTCTTATCACTGACTTAGTCAACAGGTTTTTCAACCCAGAATAATATTCTGGAGAAACTGATATGTCAAGATTTAAGTCACTAATAATTTTCTGAAACGAGTTTCAAGTTCTTTCAAAAGAAGAAGCAATTGTATGACCTTAAAACATTGAAAACCTAAAAGATTTCATGTTCATCATAATCTACAGAAGTATATAACTAAGAGATCTGGATGAACACGCCAAAAACAATAAAATTTAGGAGAGTGATTCACGCTTGTCAACTAGGTAACCTAGACATAAATGAGAATGTAAAGCATTTAGGGAATACATAAGCCTCAATCATGCACCCAAGGTACCATAAGGAAGCCTGAAAAATCACAAGAATAATCATCACTCACGCTTTCATAGAATTAAAACTCCTTAAAGCTACTGTCTCATAACTCCTAACATGAAATCAATCAACCAATTTAAGACGGGGCAGAGGCAAGGTTTTCATGAACTGGAAACAATCAAACCATTGAATTTTTATTATTCTTTATATGCATACCAAAAGTTTATCAATATAACCCATAATTAACAGCTCAAACCATCAGAAAGAGAAATAAAAACAGAAACAAAAACGATTATGACCCATGATCAACCGCTAAAAGCCTAAAACAACAACTAAAAGCTACCCAAAAGAAGAAACCCGATAAAAAAAATCCCATTTAATCAAAATCCGATCAAAATAAGTAAATAACCAAGGTTGTGCGGAGCTTACAGAGTTGATCTCTAGAATTGTATAAGCAGCAAGGACAGAAGAAAAGAATAAGCTTGAAAGAAACAGATAATAATGATTTGATTAAAAATATATATTCTAACAAAAAACGAACACATACCCTTTCTTTTCTACCGGTGGAAAGAGACTTTTAGACAAGGTAGAAACGGGAAGCTAAGGAAAGTGTTTCGAGTTTGACCCTCCTCGAACTATATATGTAACCTGCCATGACCGGTCGGTAGAGCCGTTTCTTACTTTCTTTTCGAGTTTTGGTCGTACTGTTTAACATGAAAAGACTATTATACCCCTTATTAGCTCTTTTTTAAATTTTCTTCTTTCTTTTGGCTCATGAAAAAAAAAAGGATGGTTTTATAAGCTATGGTTAGGTTATGGATAATGGTGCTGTCATGTCATAATCATATTTGATTATCTATGTGTATGAGTCGCTTGTTTCATAATGGATTGAACATTTGGTATTAATTTAATAATATAAAAATAGCTCCTTTTCTTATTAGTAAAGTATGATTTTTTTTAACATTTATTATCATTATTCTATTTTTTATACTTTAATAAACGAAACAAGAAAAAAAATAAAAAACTGAGATGGTATTTAGTTTCAAAAAATAAAGTTATTTTTAATTTTTTAAAAAATAAAAAAATTGAATAAAAATGTATTTAATAATTGAAAAAAATTTTAAAAATAAAAATGGATTAAAATATGAAAATAAAAATTTGCTTTTAATTCAGAAAACAATATATGTCTAATTTTTTTTTTAAGTTATAATATTTGAACAATTTTTAATGTCATTAATTAATAAATATATTTATTTATTTATAATTAGATGCAATTAAAATAGTATTATTGAATATTTTATTTATTTTATTTTATTTTGCATTTTAAAAAATAATTTTTATTTTTGTTTATCGAATATATTTTTTAAAAAATAAAAATAAAAAAATATTTTCTCAAACCAAACAAAAGTCAAAGACTAATCTTCACTTTAAATGGTTTTGAAACAAGTTCGAAAGCCATATTAATATCCAAAAGTAACGAAAATATTACTCTTTAATAATTGAAACTAATTCTGTGTTTTATAAGAAGAAAAGAGGAAGGAAAATTTACTTTTTTTCGCTTTTTCTTATCAAACGTAGTGTAAGAATCGGGTACTATGTAATACACCAACAATAGACCACACCGTTGGCAAAAATAGTAATTTAAAATTAATAATTTCTCTCATTGGTTAACTCTTTCTGTTTGTTACTTAGCATCTTGAATTTGGTATAACATCTTTAAAAGTAATGCGTAAAAAAAGTCAACAGAAATTAACAAAATAAAATGATGTAGTGTTGTTGATAGCTATTGCTGATGGTGGGTTATTGTTGTTTGTTAACCATAATTAAGCCTTGTCATTTCGCTAAGTAATTAGTCGCCAAATCAGCTTCTTCTACCCAATCTTCTACGATCTTACAACATCAATTAGCCATTTGGCCTTCTAGGCACCAAACCTTTTACTGCATTTTTACTCCCAATTCTCGCACGAAAACTTCCCCATACTGTGAAGCAATCCAAAAGCCTCCCAACTTTAGCGATTTAATTATTCAAATCACTGTTAGAATAAGGCGATGGCAAAGGTGTAATTGCTCTTGAACAACAAAGCAAGGATGAAAAGCAAAGAGATAGTGATGAATGATGATGGTCCGGTCCACCGGTGGAACATTTAAGTACTCATTGCATTCATTTCCAGTGGCTGCTACCAAAATCTCGAGCGTCCATTGTGAGAGGTGTACGAGGCTGATGCGATTTGTTTCACTTTCACACCCCCCCCCCCCCCCCCGCCATTTATGTTGTTGATAGTACCTAGCAAAAGAAGAGAACTTTTTCTTGTTTAAAATGTACTCTACTTCATCGTAGTATACAAAGCCGACATGCATTATTTTATGATGCTACTAACTATTGTTTCTGTAAACAAATGGTTGGTCAAATTTATTTTACTTTGTCTTTTAATGTGGGGATGTTGATGAATCTAATATCCTATCCAATGTTACAGTAAATTGTGCGACAAATAATTGAAGGTAAAACTAGCTACCAATAGAAACAATTGTGGCCAGGATTAGAAGAGGGCTTTTCTCCTTTCTTGCTACTGAAAAAACATGGCTTCTTCCATCACTCTCCGAACCCTTAAAGGTTTTCTAATTCCATCTCAGTTCCTTGGACAAAAGCCATCTTTCATCGTCCTCACAAGTCATCTTTCCCAGTGGTCAAACAGCCTAAAACCTTCTGTGCCAAGTTTGAACTATTTGAAATCTTGGGAGGTAGGGGACTATGCAAGGGGGAAAAAGGTACAGAAGTTGAGCTCAAGAGAAACGTAGAAGAAGCGTCATCACTTGCTACTACAGATTAAGAAAGTTCTGGCAGCACAGCAATCTCAGTTCCAGAAGAAGCTTTTGAAATGGAAATGATAGGGCTAACTGGGGAATTTCCAGGTGGTGAAAGGGTATTGAAAAAGTTCATTGAAGAAAACCCACCGCCTGTAAAGCAGTCAGTTTCAGATTCAAGAAGTATTGCCAGACTTGCTGCAACAAAGAAGCCAAAACCACCAGACTTGCCACTGTTAATGCTTGGAATGATCGCACTTCTGGAGAATCCTAACAACCAAATCTACATGTACTGTGGCATTGAACAACGGATCACAGATGGAGAGGCGGGGGTTCTTTTGTGAGGGAGGAAACCATGACAGATTGATCACGTTTTTCCATGACGAGCTTCAACGTAGAGAAAAGGGCCCTCTGATGAAGAATCCTAAATCTGCTGTTCTTGAAGCTATGCTAGAAAAGATCCAAAGTGATAATTCCATTTCATTTCTGCCTCAACTCTCATCTATGAATGGTATGAATCATGTGCATTAAAGATTAGTTAGGAATCAATGCCACAGATGCTTCAAACATCAAAACCCAACAAACTCACAAGTCTTTAACATTAAGAATCAACATTATAAGTAAAATATAATAAATATGCATCAGCAAAGGCTTCAATTCACTTGTCTTTCTATGTGTTTATTCATTGAAAATAGTGTTGCCTCTTTTTCTGTTTACCGCATACCAGTATCATCAGAATGTTCAAGTTTCGATATTGTGATAAGAAAAAAGAATGAGTAAATTAGAAGTCCATATAATTGTCTTCCCTCGTTGAAACTCCATGAGATGATCAGAAACAGCCACCCAACTGCCAAAAGCGTGACAAACAGATCAATCAATATCTATAAAACTAAAACAAACAACAAAAATTCGTTCTTCCAGTACTATTAGAGGTTCAATGGATTGGTTTAAACACTCAGCATGACTGAAAATTTTCCCATAAAAGATTAATTATTGAACAGAGGGGAACATCAAACAAGCAATTGTACAAACTGCAGATTAGAAAAAAAAAAAAAGATGAAGAACATAAATCATTAGTTCATTCTCATAACCAAACCTCATGAAAAAATACCAAAATTTCTTATTGACTAAGTATACTGGCATAAGTTAAATACTTCTCCAGTAGAGGTTGCACAACTTTAGGTTCTATGCATTTTACTGCTTCATAACATGGACAGATACAACCAATAGATTCTCTGATCTAACTTTCTCTTATAAATTTGGTTAGTGATCCTAAGACATATACTACTGTTCAACATAAATGTCCAGTGCAGAAAACATTAAAATTCTGACAACCCTGAAAAAGGAATGTTTTACATACCAAAATAGCCTCAATTTCCTCATTAGAAACAGGTGTTCTTTTAGGCTGAAGAGAAGCTTTCCCTCCAACAGTTGCAGGAGCCTTAGAACTAGAGAAGAATGTTAGATCACCATCACCAGTTTTGCTTGCAGTTTGAGGCTGCAATCCAGAATCTGCAAATTTTGATTTGATTTTACTTTTTTAATCAATACTCATTGTGCATTACCTCATAATGTAATGATCAGCAAACATATTTTAGAAAAAATTGACTTTTGTTTACAGATTCAATGAGCTGAAACATAGAATAGATAAAGGAAAAATGGGATTTAATAATACATTAAGAAATCATAAACAAAGAAATGACGTAAAGGAAAAAAAAAAAAATCAAGGGATGGATGGATATGTAAAAGATGAGAAAAAGAATACCAGAAGGTTTGGGATGTCTTTGGGGAAATTTGATGCGAGGGATTCTCTTCATCGCTTGAGCAACGCCCATCTCGTTTTCTCTTTTTCTAGTTTTCCTCTGCTTTGGAATTTCTCGACAAGCACAACGGTGATTTTCAATTAAGAAAATTTTCCGCTTTCAGAGATTTCGTTTTCTAGAAGAGAAGGCAGCGACGTTTCGGATTAGGAAAGAGAGCGAAATTATAAAAATTGACTTCTGTTTTCAAAACGACAATGTTTTGAGCAAGAAATGCATAATAGAACAATCAAATAATTTAAAGAGCATTTGGTTCGGAAGAATTTATAATTTTTTTAGAAATTTTATTATTAGATATTTGATTTTAATATTTGATTTAGGATAATATGATTGTGGAAAAAACTAACAAAATTTCAACAATACCTAATGTCAAATAATCAAAAACTTATCTCTCATTCTAATATTTTAAAATTCAAAAAAAAAATAATATTATTTTTAAATTTAACCTGACTAAAAATTTATGAAATAATCGTTATTATTTGGAAAAAATATGTTTGAAAATGAATTCAAGTTAGTTATAAATTTTTATCGTTAAAATTTGATTTATATATGACGTTTGATATAAAAAAATGTCTTCAATAAACTTTTATAAAAAAATTAAATGAGATTATTTAAGGTGTTTTTAATAAAAAAAAACATTGAATAATCTTCAAAAATTTTATAAAGAGATTATTGAATGTATTTTTTACCAAAAATATCTTAAATAACTTTTATTTAATTTTTTATAAGAGATTAATGGTAAAAAAATTCCTTGAATAATTCTTTGCCTTTTTTTGGATTATGAAATAGGGTTATTGAAAAACACATTCAATAATCATGTCATAAAAATTGAAGAAGATTATTGAATGTATTTTCTATCAGAAATGCATTGAATAATTTTTTCATAAAAATTAAAGGAAATTATTCAATGCGTTTTGGGTTAAAAATGTCTTAACTAACCATATTCAATTTTTTCTAAATGATTATTCAATACATTTTTTTTTCAAAAAAATGAAAAGATTATTAAAGGCATTTTCTACAAAAAATATCTTGAATAATTTCAAAAAAAATATAAAGAGAATTATCGAAAGCATTTTTTACCATAAAACACTTTGAATAACCTCATTTAATTTTTTGTAACAGATTATTCAATTTATTTTTTGTCAAAATATACCTTGAATAATCCTAAAAACAATGAAGGGATTATTGAAGGTTTTTTTTTTATCAAAAACACATTCAATAATTTCTCATAAATATTGAAGAGATTATTTAAGGTGTTTTTTACCACAAATACCTTGAATAATCTTATTCATTTTTTTGTAAGGATTATTCAAAATATTTTCTGACAAAAAACACCTTAAATAATCAATTTCAATTAAAAATTAAATTATTTAAGTTACTATCATAAGAGATTATAAAATTATTCAAGATTTAATATATATAGATTCTCCATAATCAAAAAAATAAATCTGAATATGGGATATCCTGAAAATAGAAGAAAACCTCTGGTATCTCATTTTTTCAGAGATCACACTTTCTTTCAAAATTTACAATTTTACGAATCAAACACCTCATAAGTTTTTTTTTATTTAAGAAATTGGATAAAAATATATTTTTTTTTAGATGGAATACAATGTCAATTTTAATATCCTTTCCAAAATTAAATTTTGATCATTAATTAATTTTTTTCGTAAATTTCATAGACACAAAAAACTTTCATTTTTGAATATAAATGAATATTTTATTCATAAATTTAAGACACAATAAACCTTCTTTTTTTGGATATAAGTGAAAATGGATATACAATATTGAATTAGAATGAAAATTTATCTTTCATAGCTAGCTTTTCATGAATTTGATTTAATAATAAATGTGTATATCAATTTATTTTGGTGTGTTACATATTATTATAAAATATAAAATGATCATTATTAATTTATTATTATCTTTAGCATGAGTTTTTTTTTTTTTTTTGGGTAAAATCCTTATTATGAATTACTCATCCGTCTTAAAATATTTAGGCTGTATTGATTTTCACGAAATTAAAAAAAAATTTAACTATTTAATATTAAAATTAAAATTTCATATTTTTAACGTTAAAAAATAAAAAATATAAAATTATAATTTTAAAATATAAAAAAGTAAAAGTTTTAAATGTTAAAAAAATATAATTTTGAGATATCTAAAAAAAAATTAAACAAAAAGAGTAATATTTTTGTATTTTAATTACTATGACTAACATTTCCAATTTATTGCAACTTGAAAATCCCTTGAAATTTTGTACTTGTCATCATTCATTGATAAATTACAATATTGAAAATTTCAGACACAAAACTACAAAATTGTTAGGCTTTACCCATGTAAATTAAGTGCGTGCAAACTGTAATTTTACATAGGCCCACGGACACTGAAACTTCATCCAGGTCCACGTGCCACTGGACTGGCCGTCCGGAGCAAGCCCAAAAGGTTTCCCTATCGATTTCAAATAAATGTAGAAAAAATCCCAATATTTGCATAAAAAAAAGTTTGGAACTTGGATGCAGAGCTCACAAACTTAATCCAAACTCGTAACATTCTCCAAATCCAATTTAATTTGATTTAATAAAAAAAGAAAGAACTAAATCCATTTAATTTGAACTCGAAATGATTCAAAATTAAATTGATTTAATATTAAAATTTTATAATATACATCTAAAATTATCTTAATTTAAAATTAAATTAAATTAATTTTAAAATTTTATTATATACATTCAAGATTATCCAAATTCAAATAATTCAAGTATTGAATCTAAAAGATTAAAATTTTAAAAACCTAAAATGATATAAATCTAAAATAATCAAATAAGAATTAACCAAATCCAAACCTAAATATATTTTTTTAAGATATGATACTAGACTCGTCCCATAAATCTCACCCACTCCATTAAAATTTCAACTCAAATTCTTTAAAAAGAAAAAAAAATTGCTATTTACACTATTTCAAAACACTTTTTAAGGTTAAATGAATATTTTAAAAATTTAAAAGTATATGATGGGAGCATTTTGCTAGCAATCAGTGCAGTATAATTAAGTTTAATCAATCACAAATTCAAAGTTATGTGAGATCCAATAAAATTTTATATGAAAATTGTAATAATAAATGATGGATTATTATATAATTTTTATTATAATAAAAAAATTGTAGGTAATAAATTCTCATATGGTTTTTTTTTTAATTAAAAAATATTATATTTTTTTTAAGAATATTTTTAAAGAGTGTATAGCATTTTGCATCCAAAATTTAAACTTTAAACTTTCCGTAAAAACATATTTCCTATAAATTTATAATTAATTAATCACAACAAAAAACTATATAAGATACATCACTCAAAATATGAGTTCTACATATTTATTTTTGTGGATTTATAAAATATTAAATTTTAATCGATTAATTGTACTGCAATAATTATAGATAATATACTCCTCAATTTTATTTACTATAATGCTATAATTGTCTAATTATAATAAATATATATATATATAAGAGTACACCACTTATAAATATGAACTTTATATTAAATTTTGATAAATTATACATAATTTTAAATTATAATTGATTAAATTATAGTAATTGACAAATCCAAATGATAGTAAACCCAAATTAAAGTGTAAACAATGACAGCTCCAAATAACAGTAAACCCAAATTAAAGTCTGCATAACGGCAACTCCAATTATATGAAGTAGCTCCATCAACATCCATGCTTTGCTTGCTTTTTGCTCGAGCTCAGTAAAAATTCAGACGTGCTCGAAGGGTTTTGAGTCAAACAGCGTAACTTTCATGCATAAATTCTAGATAGATGCCAAGTATGCAGTTTTCCCCTTTTAACCCTCCAAAAGGGAAAAAGGGCAAAGGAAATATAGATTGACTTGGAAATTGGGATGTTAATTGATACGATGCTTAGGAACTAAAACAAACGGCAATGACTTCGTCAGGGGAGGGGATAGTCTTTTTCGTTTTACCATTGTGTTGAAATCAAAACACGCGTTTTTAAAAGCTAAGCATAGTCAATTATCAAGACCGAGTCAGAGTAGGGGATGGTCATTTTTTAGTTTTTTAGTAGCAAAGCTAAATCAAATGAGCTCAGCACAAGCCTAGTTTTTCTTTTTTGCAACCTCATTTGTCTTACGTTTATGAGGCTCCTCCTTCCCTTTGACAAAGTCTCTGACATGTCTAGATAATCCCTTTTATTTTAAAATTTTTACTGGGGAAAGTTATAGTTTTTGAGTTTTAATTTTTTAATTTAAAATCAATTAATAATAAATAATAAAATCATATAAAATATAAATTTTAATAAATATAAAATAATATTGCTTTTAAAAATATTTATTACGTGTATGTAAAATTATCTATGAATCATATATAGATAGAATTATTAGTTTAAGGTAAGAGGAATATAACAAAATTTGTGTTTTGATACTGTTTAAAATTAATTAACAATTAATAAAAGGATTAAATTTAAATATAAAGTCACAAAAATTTTAATGTAACATGTATGTAATAGTATCATTTTAATATTAAGTTTCGAGTAGATGATAATTGATAAATCTTTTTCTAAGGTAATGTGTTCCACGCAAGTGACTGGAAGAAAGGAGAAAGCATTAATTTAAAACTGTCAATTGCATTCTTTCTTTTTTTTTTTTTTTGGAGAATGTTGGCTTCAATCACGCTGAAGAAAAATATATAGTTCACACCTTTCTCATTAATTTCGGAAAGAAAGTTAAATAAAATTTGAAATCCTTTTATTTTACTTCAATTAATCGTAAAGATGCATACATCATAAATTGATTGTTTTACTGCAGACTGATTTTTAAATGAGATGAGCTAAGCTGAGTATTCAGTTATTAAATTTAATTTTAAATGATACCAATCAAGAAGTAATTGAAGAAATGGCGATTCATTTTTATTAAACATCTCATCAAAAAGTCTACAAGGTAAAAGCATGGTAATTTCACTTGTCTCGTCTTCATTCAAAAGTATTACTTGAATGAACTCGTTTCAATGATGAAGCAAGAATCATGAATTTCTTGTGAATCTGACGCGAACTTTCTAGTTTCTACAAACGCCACTGAAAAGAAGGGGAAAATAAGCAGAAGAAGCAGAAGCAACTATGCATCACGCATGCGAACTGCTGATGGTTTGTCCACAGTGACAGGAGGACCGATCATTTGACAGTCAGTGCTACGTTTTAAAATTCCAATTTGACTGAAATAAATGAAATTTCATTATCCCAATTTCGTGCTCTTGACGCCCTGACCCATTTCCCTTTGAGCTGAATTTAATAGTCGACAATCACACTTTGCCCAAAGGACACTCCCTCCTTGCTCGCCAATCACATTTCTCCTTCCTAGGCCGCCCCTGCCTCTATTTCTATATAAACTCACCCAGCATTCAATTGCTCTTGCATCCAGCACCCCCCATTTTTATTATCAGCACAAAAAAAAAAAAAAAAAAAAAAAAAACCCATCTTTCTTCCCACACAAAAAATGCTTACCTTTGTCGCTTCTTGCTTCAACAAGGTTTTGTCTGGTGAAATTCTTACATTTGAACAATCCAAGAGTACATCAAAGGTCATATACAGAGATGAGTTGAATAAGAAGCAATCACCAAGCAAGCAAAAGAGTTACTATGGTGATTCCTTTTCAAGTACAAAACCATTGTTAAAAGTTAAGGATGGAAAGGATATCAAGAGAAGTAGTACCGACTTTGATGTGAAAGCGAGTACTGTAAGAGTAAAAGTGAAGATGACAAAGCAAGAAGCTGCTCGATTGCTTTCAAAATGCAAAGATGGAGGGATTCTTGAATTCAGAGATGTAGCTGGTGAGCTTGTGAACCTCCCAATGAATCGCGTTAGCGTTGTGTCCCCTTGTCCTGGAATCAATAAAGTGCTCGATACTATCCCCGAAGACCATTAGATAGCATGGTAGAGTAGTCAATGTTAAGAGAATAGTTCAGTTTTCCCTCTTTTTTTTTTTTTTTTTGTCAAAATTTTCATAAGTGAAACTAGTTTAGTAACACTTTTTTGTGATTGAAGGCAATTTCTTTTATCAAATATCAGGTTGAATAAAAGGTTTACGTATCATGTATACAAGTAACACTCCATCCAAATGAATGGTTTCGGTTTGAGATACAAATACCCAATAATTTCTTTTATCATTTTCTAGTTTCGCTGCCATATAGAATCCAAACAATGTTCAATTCTGCTATTGATTCTTACCTAAACTTCTAAATGGTCCAGGTGATCAGTTTAGAAACTTGAAAATTCTGATATCTTATCCTTCACCTCTTACAAGTAGTGATCAAAGCCCTTTCTAAATCCCCTGTTCCCCTTGAAACTTGAAACCAACTTTGTTGCAAGAAGAAGGGCGCCTGATGATCAATGCTATACCAATCCCGGAGCTTTATTCATACTCATATGATGTATAGGGAAAATGAGTGAAATTTTAGGAAGAAACTGAATTTAATGATTGGATTGGCACTTTAGGACAGATGGAAGGGTTTCTTTTCCTATGGTAACTAATAAAACTTATTTCTTTTCTTTAGAATCTTCAAATATCCTATTGATCCAATAGAATCCTGAGGATGTCAGTGAACAGAGTAGTCAAATTTTTCACTCAAGACGATTAAAATAAAATAGGTTTAACAGACTTTGGGTGTCGTCGGAGGTTTCCGGGTCAAAAAAAATAAGTGAGATCCCTTCAAATGTAGCCCACTGATGCCTTTTGTAGTTTCTATCCATTACTATACTAAAGATGTGAGAGTTTACTCGCAGAGTCACAAGGCTAGGGAATTGGTCATTGTTTGTGAACTGTGATGGAGAAAGGGGTCCCATTGAGAGAAAATGGCAGTTTTCTGTTGGATAAAGCCTCAAATTGTTGCATTGTCACATCAACCAATTGGAGACTGATTTATCTTGGGCTCAGATGTTTAATTCAAACCCATTGCCTAACTGCCCCCTTCTCACTCTTATCGTTAATGTTTAGCCCATATGGCCCTTATTTAATATCTCTCGTTTTGAAATTTCTTCTCAGTCTCTAGCTTAATCGTTAAACAACCGAGCATTTGACTCGGTTGAATTTCTTTTCAGATGGTAGGATTCGATCTTTTTAATAAAAAAAATGTTACATAATTAAATAATTTAATGCAGGAAAAAAATCACATCAAATGTCACCACAAAACTCCAATGTCCAAAAGAAATATTTTTTATACAAAACTATATTAATGTTTGAATCTTAATCAATATAATTAATTTATTTTTTTAACAAATCACACAATTATAAAAAAATACTTTAATAATGCGTTTTTATTCAGATTCTTAGGCCACCATTTGTAATTTGCAATTATACAGAAAAAAATTCATCTATACTAAAGTTTGCCTGTTGGAAGATAACTTACGTTATTCTTGAGCATCAGATTCAACATGACCCACGCAACACCAAACCCACTTGAAAGAATTCAAAAGTTTATTATACTTCGGAACGAAAAAAAGATGTTGGTTTAAATTAATAATTAAAACAAAATTGAACATTGGACTTAGTCCTTAATTAAGATATGTAATTCAGACGTTGATGCAAGTTCCAATAATTCAACACGTAAAATTTAGGGGTTTACTTTTAATTCTAAGCACGTCAAGAGACCCTTAAACCCAGGTTAGTAGAAGAATTCTTCATTAGTTGATTTGATTTTTAGAGAAACTGACCGAGTCAACTTCTGATCTCTTTTATGACCTTTTTGTTACGTATAACACCAATCATAATCAGAAGAAATTACAAGGTACCAAGATGACTCAGTTCTTGATTGAGAAATGCACTTAATTAGAAGGTTAATTAGACACCGTCAAATGCTAGAAAAACTGATCCAAAGTCTAACCCAACCAGACATTTATTCGACCTGGAAATTAAGTTTAGCACTATATTAATGTCGGGAAGCCGGGAACCACTTTGATGAATTGATCCCCAAGGTTTTAGTAAGTTTCAAGTGAAAACACAGATTTTGCAAACTGTTTCATTGAAGTGATAGGAATATTCACGGATGTAGCTAAGCTTATGAAACTCTCTGCCCACTTCAGCTTCAAGCATATAGTGCTTAGCCTTTTGCAGACCGATCACAGAAACCTGTCTTTCCTATATATTATTCGTTACAATTTTTGGGGTTTGGAATTTTGGTTCAGTTTTTTTCATTACCTTGGATTTTAAGTTCTTAACAATTAATACATATGTTAGATTTGGTCAAAACTTAATCAAATCACTAACACAAATTTAAATCGATAAAACTTGACTCAAATATTATCAATATAATTACTCGTTAATTTGACACTAACCAAAATTTAATTCAAAATAATTGATTATATTGGTCAACGACATAAGATAAATGCAAAAACACCACCATTCATTTTCAGGATGGTTAAATATAGAAAAGTGAGATCCAATAATAAATATTGGAAGAGAAAAGTAACATTTGCAGATTTCGTATGTGTGGTTCTCATCCTCTTTTTGCTGGTCTAAGAAGTAAACTCAGACTTAGTCATACCGAAATAAATATGAAATATATAGAAAGCTCTGTCCATTGCATTCAGGTGGTCCACAAATAGTGATATCTTTTAAAGAACGTGGAAAATTTTTGAAGCGAAGGGAAGGGTTTCAGAATTCCAGATATAAACTAATGATCCGTTGATTTGTTTGTGGTTGATAAATTTGGCGCTGAATTCTGGTTCTTTCATTAATGGCTATACCTAAATCCATGTTTATATTAACTCCCAACTGTCAAAGACATTAATTAGGTAATTGAAACTCAAACCCATGTGTCAGGCCACCATCTCTCTCATGGGAAGGAGGAGTAGGAGAATTAGAATTAGATTTACACAAGATTTAGTGAGTTAAAGTAAAATGACATTTTTCAACTTCTCAATCCATGCGGTCCCAAAAAAAAAAAAAAAATCATCATCAATTCCATACACCACTGCTTAGAAATAACATCAAAGTTAATGATACTCCATATCAGGAGCTTTAAAAATTAGTAACTGTCTATAAATATTCAACCTTAAAATCCATTGATCTTTTCAAATCAGATAAGTAGAAAATGTTCAAGTACATCTGCATACAGATCTATAATATATTCTTCTTGGATAGAACAGATCTATAATATTTAACTCCAGGAAGCTTGAATAAAAGATCCAAAACCAAAATTCATCCTATATATAGGTAAGGGAGAGATACATTCCGAACTTGGTTCATCACCCAAGACAAGGATCCAGAAAAAAAAAGGGAGATTCTGGTATAATTATATCCTCTACTGTCGAGTTACCTAAGTAAAAAGAGGTTCTGAAGAATATGAATCAGAAACCTCAATAGCAGATGGAAGATTATACATATATAGTAGTTTACAAAAACCTCAAGGGTAAAGTAGGAAGAAAAGGAAAAAGGACTGAAGCTTCATGAATCATGATCTGTCCATTAATTCAGGGTCGACGTCTTCCATTATACTCTCCAACGAAGGTCTCCAAGAATCAACTTTTCCTGATCTTGCTTTCTCCAATTCCGCCAAAAGATCCTCTAAGCTCTTCTTTCCATTCTTATTATCCTTCAGCTTCAGCAGAAACAACTGTAGCTCTTCTTTTGTAAGCACTATCTTCACCTTTATGCTGCCTTTCCCAACATCATTTTCCTGCTCATCAAACTCGGTTGCAGCTTCACGAATCTCTTCTATTTCCTTTTCATTCATCTGGCTTGATCTGTACAATGTTTTCATGCAATTCCCCATGATTTTTTTCACTCCAGAGAATGAAATTTTCCTCCCTGCAAAACCACTCTTGTCTGAGCTGTTCAACAGTCTCAAAAACTTGTTCTAGGGATCGATGTATCAGAAAAGAAAATTGTAGTTTCCTAATGACTCTGCTGTTTGATGCAAGTGAAATTGTCTAACGAGTTATGAGGGTATTTATAGACATAATTAGATGCCAACAGTTCCCTGTATTAGTTAAATATTGTATGTACTACTTACTTAGACTTATTTTTGTTTTTGTTTTGTTTGTACGTATACTTATTTTCTTTACGACAGTGATTTTTCTACAAGCTAAGTGACAAGCTGAACAGTCCAATTAATATAAAAACTATAAAACCACAGTAGATTATGGCTTATGTGTTAAAAAGAATTTGTCTATCTCATGATTGATTGAGTTTAAATTCAATGAGAAGTTATGAAAAGATAATTTTTTTATGAATTTTTTAAAATTGACATAAATAAATCAATTTAAACCTATCTATGTACTGGATGAAATCCAAAAGCCACTTACCACTGAAAAAACCTATAAAACTATATATTATACACTATGCCATTTGTTAATTAGTGCAACTTTATATCATATCCTAATTAACAGTAAAACCAAACCGTGTTAGAACTCTGGCAAAGGACAATATCTTTTAGCAAATCTAGCATTCCAGCTAGTTCATCGTTGTGATATGAATATCTATGTCGTCTACGCATTTTCATATGTTGTATCTTATTTTAAACTTGTTTAGTGATTTCATCTCAATAAAAAAATTTTGAGGATTCCACTAAAACCCTTTTTTTTAAGTTGAATTTTCACTTTAATGACTAATTTTTGGTGTAACGAGCAAGAAAGAAAACAAAATATAGATGGACTATAAATTTTAATATTTTCTTTGCAAAAAGTAATTGATTACTTGTAGGAAAATGTAAGAAAGAAAACAGCAGACAGAATAATTGTCGGCTTTTGACGATTTGAAGTGTGAATATGAACTTTACCATATTTAAAAGGAATCTATTCATAAAATTAACTCTATCTTTTTTCCTTTTTTTTTTTTCTAATTCCTTTATAGTTCTTAAACTTTCCGTCAACTTTGGGTCCCACATATCTTTTGATTTATGATTTTTGGGTCCTATCAGTAGGCCAATAATTGGACAGAACTTTGGCCTTATCAATGCTCCATTGCTGCTTAATAATTTTAAAGTTTCTTTCGAATTGCTTAAAGATGAAAAACAACATAGAAAGAAGAGGGCGAGTCAGCTGATAGTAATATTTTTACTACAATTGCAGATAAAACCACCTTTGTTTTTGTGTTTCCAAGAAAAATTTTCCATTGCAATGGTAACTACTAGGAATCATTAATTTATGAACTTTCTCTCTCAAAAAACCAAAAAAGGGATGGGGGAATATTCGTAATGAAATTTCCTGGAAAATGTGAGGAGGGTAAATTTTCTATATATATGATTAAAGCAACTAATTAGCAGGTTTATGCCAACAGTATTTTAACAGAGTTAAATCCCCCCGACAATGTCACAGGCAAGAATAACTCCTTCACTACCACATATTATTATAAGAAACTTAGGTTGTTGAAGCTGATTTGAAAAATGAAAGTTGAGTCATATATATCCGCCAGGGCAATATGGACAGATTAGATTAAGAAAAACTCGGTTTCAAAAATCTTGACTCTCCAATCTCCATGCATTTGTTTAACATTTCATGGTCGATATTATATAATTGTTGCGGTTTGTCTGCATGTTAAAGTGGCAGAATTTACGTAGACAAAGATGATCACGAGACTTCAGCTTCACCTACTACGTTTGATCTTTTGTTTTTCTTAACGCAAGGATTAATTAATCTCCGATAGTGTTAATTAATTAACTGATTTACTACTTGGTTTGTGAACACGAGGCTATCCCTAGTTCTTCTTTAACTTTTCCCCTTCAGCGTCTTCTTCATCCATTGGTCGAGAAAGGTCAGAAATTCAAAAGTTAAAAGCACTTCCATCAAAAGATTGTTAAAGCTTAATGCTGATTTTTTTTTTACCCAAAAACTATCATTCAAATCTTTTTCTTTTACTTTATTAAAAGAGCTAATATTTAATACAATGTGAATATAAATTTTTAATTTTATAAATAAAATTAAAAATTGGCAGATATTTTATTTATTTTTTATTTTAAAAATATTTTCAAAAGATTATTGTCACTTTATTGATTTCGTTTATTTATGTTTTTATACTTAAATATATAACGTCAACAATAAATATTAAAATTTTTATTTTAATAATTAATAATTAATAATTTTGAATATAATTAGCATATTAATTAACTATTGATCAGCCAAAGATTCCCAGAGTTATACTCATTTCTTTATATAGCAAAATGTGATTGTGTTTCATACTAGCAGTGGTCAATAGTTATCCATATTTTAATTGTTAAAATAAAAAATTTATCATAAGCTACTGCATTATATTAATTATGCATTTTGTATTAACTTACTACTGTTTACCTAATTATGATTGGGTGAAATACACAAAGCCTGTAAATAAAATAAGCTAATTTGAGAAAATCACTTTATCCTCTTGACTGTTAAAGGTATTAGTCAACAGCTAATCTCAATTAAATTCTTTTTTGGTCCATTTTTTTTCTTTTGTTGTTATAAATTTAGTGTTCAGTTGAAAATTTTAACTTTTAATTAATTATTACGACAAATTAAAAAGTATGATACCAAATGGGTTTAATTTTTAGAAAGAAAAAAGAAAAAGAGATTAAGTTAATGTGAAAAATATAATTAAAAAAAAATTAAGGTTTGACTATCCTTAAAGGGTAAGGGAGTAAAATGACTTTTTCGTTAATTTTTTTTTTGATACAAATGAGGCCATTAACTATATATTTGGTTTAATTAATTTCTGTCAAACCACGTGGTCCGCATATTTCTAATTACAAGGAGTGAACATGGATTTTTATGCTTCAAAATCCAATAAGCAAATTCTAAGTTCTGTCTCTTTCTCTATTTTGTTCTTCTGATTATAATTAACAACATAGAAAGAGAATTATGAAAATGTTTGCCTTTTTTTTTCTAATTTGTCTTTCTTTTCCCATAATTATAATGTTAAAAATTCAAAAGGATTATTATTATTTTTTTTTTAAGGTTCAAAAGGATTAGTTTGAGTCAGTCTATTAAAATTTAAGGTAACACTATAATCGGCAGAGAGCAAATATAATGAATCTACTTAATCTCATCCTTAATCAAATGATAAGTTCATAACTTCACTTTGACCTCTATCAAAAATTATGATTAAAAGAAATTTGTAATTCTTATTATAATTTAGTTATTTGTCTAGAAATGGGATTTGCTCCCTTTTGTAGTAAATGAAAAAAAAAAAAAAAAAACACTACCATATATATTTTGAAATCCTTAATATATTTTTAAATCCAACCCTTATTTATTCATTTGAAAAAAATATATTACAAACATAATTTTTTTAATTATGACTTTTAAAGGTCTGATCAATTACATTCAATCTATATATATATATATATATATATATATATAATATATATATATATTGTGTTCAGACAAGCTTTTAGTCTTGCTGAGACTAGCTACTGCAGAGTCTACTGTCTTATAGTATTTCTAAAATTCTGTTGAAAAAATGTTTAAATTTAATTCTATTGAGCAAGTTTCAAAAGCAGTAACATGGAGGCAAATGGTTGGAGGTTTGGGTCGTCGACGACCATTTGGTTCAACTTAATTATCAATGCAAACTGCCAAATAACAGTTATCATGAATTAACCTTTGGTAGTGTTGATTGAGACAGGGAGGGGAGAGGGGAAATTAGAAGGGGTCCTCTGAGTCTGAGGTTATCATGACGAGTATTGACGTTATATACCCTTAAAAAAAATCAATGGAAAAAAAAATATAAATATATATATATATATGCTACTCAAATATTTATTACAAATTATCATATATTCAACCGCCTCTGAATTATTAAGGACCCTTTTTTCTCAAAATTAAAATTAGTTTGGTTTTGGCCTTTTTTATTTTGTTGATAACAACAGCCTTTGTATCAAACAAGAGGAAATTTGTAATTTAAAATGAGGAGGATTTCGCTATCAAAGACGGGCAGAGCAATAAAGTTTCCTCGACAGCATCCCTAAATTAGGTAGGGGGGGAGTGACTGGTTTCAAATATTTTAAAGGCTGATGACTGTGGAAACACATGAACTAAATCCTTTCATTTCCTCCAGGAAATAACATCAACCTAACCCTTTGTCTCTAATTGTTAAATTGTGGTTGAAAATTTTATGTTTTATGAGACTGGAAGGCAGGAGAGTCTGCGTGAACAGTTATGCTCAGCAACCCCAATGATTTTACTGTGATTTGAGAAAACAATGCAAAGTACATGGAAAATTTTTTTTTTTTGACAATTCATAATTTAACAAGCATGAATGAATTTTTTTAAATAATTGAATGGATCAATTGAATTAAATTTTAAATTTTATAATAAAAATAATTTCATGTCCATCACTCCATCTATTATTAATTATATTACCACCTCGGTAAAACATAACTTATTCCCAAATTCTTCGCTCAAAAGCCAATTGGTTTAGCACTTCGATTCGGCCGCTACTAAGTGAAAAAAGCGGCCTTAGCACCATTATGTTTTGGTTACTGAATAAAATAAAAAATGGATTGTTTGCAAGTAAGACTATACCGTAAGAGCACATATTTGAATTGGAATAGACTACATATGAAGGATTCAGCTGTTTGTCTCGTGACCCCAAAGACTTTTTGGACTTTTAGGTGGCTCCAGCAGACGAAACGAGACAAAGGTGGCTAAGAGGCCCACTTTTTGGCAGTTTTAGCTTAGACAAAACCTAACACACAGTAAAAGCCCACAAGAAGCTACTTTCATCGAAAAACCTGACAATGGTGTACCTACCCATTCAAGGACTAGGGCTCCCAATTCGCTTGATCTCCAAACTCCGAAA